TCAAATAGTTAATTTGATACTAATATCGATATATTTTTGTCAAATTTTTATGATATCTTCAAACATATATTTTATTCAAAAATAAAAACATCATCGCTTACTCAAAATTACATAAAGTCATATTATAACATCGACTAAGATAAATAATAAAATGAAATATTAAAATCACGATGTATTTCGCTGCATTGCGCGAGTACGCTTCTAGTTTTTATATATATATAATAACTAAATATTTTGTTAGAACTCAATGATTATCCTAATTATATTTTTAGATTTTTTATATTTAAAATGAGATGTTTATCCAATATTTGATTATGTTTATCTGCAGTTAGTTACATAAATTCAAATATGAAACATTAATAAGTTGTACTTATGCACAATTTATTTTTAATCTTAAATTTTAAGTGATATGCATCAATAAACAGTATTTTGTGCACAAAAAATGATCTCTAAGAGTTTTTGTCAAATGTTTTATAATATAATATAGATAATATTTTTAAGTTTTTTTTTTTAATATAGCAGAGTTATAAAACCCAATATAATCACCACAAAATGAAATGTAGAGTCAGGAGTAGAGACAGTCAAAAATCGGTCCCGGTCTTAAACACTATTCTCGTAATCGGTCCCGACTAAAAATCCAAGACCCAGTTAACTTACTTTGTAACTGCTCATAGTCCTGAGCTGGACTCAAATCGGTCCCGCTTTTTTTAAATAAAAAATCAATTTTTACATATAAGTTTTTAATATTTTTTTTTTTAAGAATACAAAAATGTTATTATAATACATTTTAAAATATGTAATTGAGTCAATAAAATATACTTACAAATAAGTTTTATTATAATTTGTTAAAAACAGAAACCGAATACGAGTCGAAATTACAAATTATAGTGAGAATTATGAAAGTTTTTTTGCGTTTTTTAGTTGATATCTTCTCTCACATACCACATAACTTATATATTGTGTATAGATGGTCAATAGGACAAAAAATGGTCAAAAAATCAAAAGAAAAAAAAAACAGTCATATGACCATTCCAACGACTATAAAAACATGACATTTTCTTTTGATATATATTTTGAAAAAATTGGACTGGTCCATGTTCTTATGAAGGGACCATACGCATTCCTTTATTAACTTTTGTCATAGCATGGTCTCAAAGACCATCCTCTCCGATGCTTCTTTCCTCGTTAAAGTAGTCTCATCTGTCAAAGTTTTTTAGAGACCGAGGAGGGAAGCCATTAATGGTATTTCATTCGAAGTGGTGTATTTCAAGTTGGAGAGTTAACAGACAGTTAAAGATTGAATCGTTACCACTTTGAGTGACTGCCCTGAAGTAGTAGACCAACTCCTGTTGAAGAATAAGGCTTTTGAGCTGCTATATAGCGGGAGTCATCTCGGTTGTATGCCACGAGAGTGGACTAGCCTTGCGCCTTGACAAGGTAACAAAGCAATGACTCAGGAGCGAATTCCCCACTGACAAGTGTCCTGCGGCACCACCATGCAAGTCTTTGTTCCTCTTGAAGAATGAAGAGGAAGCTATCAATGCAATACTAAAGCCAACTAGCAACTTGCGCCTAAGACAAATCGTAAGAAAGGAATTGGTTACTCACGAATGCCTCTTTTCTCTTATCTGAGTATGCAACAAAGAAGATTTCAGTCAACCTCAGAGTCGGAAGCTATAACTGCTATCTATGATGCAATCAGGGGGAATAACCACTCCCTTGGTTGGGGGATGTGGATTTTCGGAACGCCTAAGTCAATAGCTCAAAAATAGGTGGAGGTGGGTGCAGGACTTGGGGCTGGCATAACGAGTAAGCGGTTTATACAAGAAGAGTTGCGACTCTATCTCTCTCGCTAATGAAGAACAAACAGACAAATCTCAAGCATTTGGTACTAAGTTTCCTCCTTCATGCATAATCGGATTGGACTGGATAATGCCATTTTGGAACATCTTTATGTGGGTATGTATGAAAAATTCCTTAACCTTTGCCCTATTTTTTGGATTTGGTGTTCGCCCTTCTCCACCTTACTTTGCCATGTATTCTTCTTACTTCCTTTTTGTTTTCATTATTGATCAATGACAAGAATCCAAACACACAGGAATTAATTTGATAAAAACTTTTAAAAACCATTTTTAATGCAAAGAGGGTGTGTGAGTTTATTTATTTTAGTTGTCGTATATAAATATCAACTATACTATATTATAAAGTATTTGATAAAAACCATTCTTATGCACCAAGTACTGTTTATTGATGCTTATTACTTAAAATTCAAGATTACAAGTAAATTATGCGTAAATACAACTTATTAAGCTCCATATTTGAATTCGTGTAACCAACTGCAGATAAACATAAGCAAATGCAAGATAAACATCAATTTTAAATATAGAAAATCTAAAATATAATTAAGATAATCATTAAGTTATAACAGAATGCTTAACTATTATCTTTATAAAAATTATATTATTAAACAAAAAATAAATTACTTTGTTACTAAATCTAATTTAAATTATAATAAAAAATTGAATTAAAGAAGTTACAAAAAAAAAACGAAAACTATTAAATAGTTAATTTGATACTAATATCGATTTAATTTTTTAAAATTTCATGTTATCTTCAAATTTATATTTCATTCAAAAATAAAAATATTATTACTTTTTTAAAACCACATATAATCATAAACTACAAATTAAAATCGAGATTATCTCGTTGCATTGTAGGAGTATCCTTGTGGTATACCTAAAAAAAACATTTCAAATCAAATTGTTGGGCCGAACGTCAGAAAGATCCGGCCCAGTTGACATTTGTCACTGGTGGTGTCTAACGTACGCACGCACAGAAATGTATTTATAATCTCATCTTAGTCTTAAACCCTAAACCCTCGCCCTACTTGGTGGAGGAAAGAAACCAGCAAGAACACCAGTCACTCCTAAAACTCTCCGTTCACCTTTCACCTGAGAATCACCTTTATAAGCATAGTTTGTTAATTCAAGTGGTGCTTGTGGCGGTATTCAATCAAGAACCTCTACTCTGATAACCGTATCTACAGTCCAGGTCAGTCTTCTCTGTTTTTTTTTTTCCTAACATATTTTGTTTTTGAAGTCTGTCTGTGGCGGTCTTCAATCGAGAAACATCGCTCTGAGAACTGCCTCGACAACTCAGGTCAGTTTTTTCTTTATTCAATCTAAAATTTTGTTGTTCTTACGTGTTAAATCTGCATGCTCTGTGTGTAATCACAGTCTATTTTATTGAGAAAAGGCTACACGTTTTTGGTTGAAATTTGGGTCTTTATGTTGCAGAAGAAAGGTTGAGTTCAAATTGTACGTAGTTGGAAGTCTAAATGGCGATTGACGGGAGTTTCAGTATTGAATATGAATTGGGAAGGTTTCTTCGTCGGTGCCCCAGGCTTGCAATGGTTCCTCAGTTAGATAATCTGGTCAAAAAGGTATGGAAGAAGTCTGTATCTTCTTGAAGAACCTTTATACATGTTGCACTGATGCACTTCATGATTAATTTTTTTTGAAAGTTTTTGAGAAATAGAGTCAACCGCATTGAGCTTCATAGTAGATAATAACATAGGATTATGCCACAAAATCCATTTTGTTCCTGCAAATTGGAAATCACTTCTGGAATTCAAAGTATCTAATTGGAGGGAGTTGATTATGCTGTAGAATGTTTAAATGTGTATTTATGCATGGCTATTTGCAGGGGAAATATTTGACAGAGGAAGAGTTGATTGATGGGGTAGCCGAGTTAATTTTACATCCTCGCTACACAATTCCATTGGTGGGATGCTTTCGTCCGATAGCACGAAAGATTGTTGACCGGGTTGTGGCTTTGTTACGTTTGGTACCTGATTTGACGTCCAATTCCAATGATTCGATGCTCGAGTTTGATGAAGGAGTATTATTCAAGGAGACTGAAAGTTCAAACTGTGAAGAGGTTATTTGTGTTATTAATTTATACATCAAATGTGGGAGAGGTCTGAGACTTCATGAGCTTTCCTGTTTGGCATTTTCACGAACAATTGATTTGATACCTTATCTATCCGGGTAAGCTCACTTGTACGCTATTCCTACTCTCTTCAACTATGCTCCAGACATGGTTTCATTTGGTGTTCCACAAAACATCCTTATTTCTTATGAGTGTTTAGGTCATGCCTAATGTTTGAATATTTCTCAAATTCATGCTAAGCATCTCTTTCCAAAAGGAGAATAACTTCGAGGTTTTGTACTTATATGTGTATATGCATGCATGTATGTGTATATCAGTAGACATTTGGGGGCTGTTAGTTCAGCTTCTATCAATGGCTGTTTTTGCTGTGGTTTTGAGTTAACTTCTCTACTTAGTTCTCCAATTTTCTCATGGTAAGATTTTCTAGTCTCTACATCATCTTTCCTGGAATGGTCCGCCATAAACTAACCTTTACGGTTTTTCTTGATAAATCATTTTTAAATGCCGACCCTATAATACAACTGATCTACCTTCCAACAAATTTGGAGATAAGAGAAAAAGGGAAGCGTCATGGTTTATTTTTAACTTGTGGATTACTTTGGGTTCATGCATGAGATGACAAAACATGTCTTTTCTTTTGCCAAGTCATGAATTTCACTTTCTCTTCTTTTTGTTTAATCAAAACCTTTCAGGGCTCATGTTCACATGCATGGGTGCATTGACATACCTCGGTTACTTCTGCAGGTCTGTAAGGGATTACTTCAAATTTGCTCCACCTCCATTCAAAAGGATTACGGAGAAGGAATTAATGGCCCAGTCGTTAGTGCAGGTATAATTGCTTGTAAATATTACTCTGTTCTATATCATTTGAGATTGTGTCATTCATGGGCCATTTGGAATCCCTCTATTCCATACATGTTACTTGTAAACATCTTGATTATGGACGTTATATTTATGTTGGTGGAAATTACCAGGTTATGGGGATTGGATTTCTGTTTTTTGTGCATATTTATGTCTTCGTTATAGATATTGGCCATTGTCTAATTGTGCCTTTTGCTTTTATCAGGCAGGAGCTCATCTATTAGATGCTGTGCGAGTATCACATCGTCTTCTTTTAGCAGAACCCGAGCTTTTCACCAGGCTATGGGATTGGTCCTGTTATTTGGACCTCGTACATGAGATCACTTGTTTTCATGGAAGACATATAGAGCTTTTGGTGGACGTAAGATGGTGCACGTTACAAACATTAACAGTGGTTTTGAAGATGAGTGACAGATTTATCCGGAAAAAGATGAGTGACATGGCACCTTCAGATTTAAAATTTGACGATGAAGAAGCATTTGGGTGTTTACTGAGGTTAGTTTTGTCCAATGTTAAAATTATCTCTGATTTGCTTACTTTTAATGTTATGAACAAGTAGAAGTGTATTTTTGCACCAGCATGAGGTGCCGATAGAACGACATGACAGATATGACCCAAAATCACTGGTATAGATGTAAGAAATTATTTTCTCTAGACCCTAAAGTAATATGTTGTTCTAGCTGGCAGCATCATACTATACCCGGTTGGTTAAACATTATAGAACTAGTATGCTATTGACTTAAGAAAAGCCGACATGGATTTATTGGTCTTTTGGAAATCCTCCAATTTATTCATTTTACTGGTTATTTGGAAATCTGGAGCAAGAAATTTGTGCTTCTCCCATATGTACAAATTTGTGTTTGAGATTCTGCTTCTTTTCAAAAACATTTTTCCTAACTGTCCTATGTACTATTGTGAAAATAATTTTTTTTGGTACAGAAGGGATTTCACATCCTGAAAAGATGCCAAATCAATCTTTTATGGAAGTTTCCATGTGGATTTGTTTGCTATGTTCATAGGAACGTTTGACTTCCATTTGATCCACCCCAAAAAGAGCTCTCTTCAAAAGGTGTGGCTATGTTTTTGGTTCTTGTTTCTTTTTATTAACATTATTATTATTGTTCTTTATTTTTATAGGTGGAAGGAGTTTCTTCAGGATGTATCTTTGGAGAAGGCTAGCTGGTATCTTGAACCATTTAGGGAAAGCAAATTGGATTCTTCTGAGGAAAACATAAATTTTGATAGAGGACCAAACTCACAATCTCTGGGCCAAAACTCATCTGCTGTTTCCTGGTCAAAGCTTCCAGAACTTGGGCTACTAAATTGGAGCAACATGGATGGGACATGGTAGAATAACTAAACTGAAGTGATTATAAAAGCATCATAATGGAGTGGAGGGGTTTGGAAAGGATATCTCTAGTTAGTCACTACCACCCTGCAAATGGTGGTGATGGCCGACCTTTTAAGCATCCTCCCTTTTTCCTTACTTGAATTTTTGTAAACTTAAATGTATGATAATGCTGTTTGTACCCCATGTATTCTAATGTTGTTTCTAGCCTCTTTTTTATTTTACATAGAAGTTCCTTTCTTATCTTACGTTAGGGATATGCCTAAAACTGGAAGACCTTTTGTTTTAACATCTGCTGTGAAGAAAAGTTTTGAGATGGTGCTGTTGGCGGTGAGTCAGAGGTGGCCTATTCTTCTTTATGGTCCAGCTGGTGCAGGCAAAACTGCTCTCATTAGCAGGTTAGCCCAGGGTCATGGGAGTCAAGGTATGTTGTTTCTGCATTTAATTGCCAGGATAGCTGCAACAAGTGACACTGGACATTTCCCCAATTATCAAATATGACAAAGTTTATTTAATTTAAATTATCTCTTAAGTTTGAAGTCTTGGCAGAAGCTAATGTTGTATTACAGGTATTTTGCCTATCATGCTCCTTTCCACCTAAATAATAGAATACCTTACCTTTGTGTATGTTGTTCTAAACTAATATCTTCCGTCTCTCTAGCCTTCCCACCAAGCTGTCTTTTATCAGTTTCTGTATACAATGTGTAAGCTTCTCCATGCCAATTATTTTTTTGCGTTTCCAGTTTTTCCTAAGAAATCCAGCTAAAGAATATTTACTTCAGTTGCGATTACTATAGGCCAAATAAACCCCAAATCAGATGTGTAAATTTCTTGTATTTATGTGCTATTCAGAATGTCTTATGAAACCCAATTAAAGAATATTCAATACTATATTACTATTAAGGTGTACGGGAATCACACTTAAATTATAAGGAACAATAACATATATACTGAAAGAAAAGAAGAACCATCTAGTCTTGGCTGATTGACACCCCATTGTGTTGATCATTGATGGAGGATTTCCTGGAAGTTAACTTTTATTAATTTTTAGTTGCTGCATCTTCTAGAGTAATGTGCTTTTTGGCACAGAACATGTACAAGCTGAAGCCTCTAAGTGACAAGTACAACCCAAATCATGCCAGGTCCAGGGTTTAGTTTACTATTTGATCTATATGGCTGTCAGTAGTAACTTCCAATATGGATCATGATTGTTTAATTTATTTATTTTGAAGGTGAGGGCACAAAGTCCTTTATCATAGGATTAAATAAATTGCTTTGTAATACTGTTTTCATGCTTTTGACATATATGCTTCAAGAGAGGTGATTATTTTGTGATGGCTATGTATGTGTTGCCATTCCCTATTTAATCTGGTTTTGTTTATAGTGTTTGAACTTCTTAATTCTCTCACAGATCTTATGTAGTTCGTTTTTAAATGAGATGTTTTCCCCCTTCCAGTTCTTTCTATTCACATGGATGAGCAAATTGATGGAAAAACACTAATTGGGAATTACGTATGTGCTGAACAACCTGGTGAATTTAGGTGGCAGCCTGGTTCCCTTACTCAGGTTGGTTAGTTCATTTTTGTTTCTTTTTTCATAGCATTCAATTTGTTGAGTCTTGATCATGTTAGCCTTAGCTTTAATGCCGTTCTTTGCTATCTACAGGCTATCCTTAATGGGCTTTGGGTTGTCTTTGAGGACATTGATAAAGCTCCTGCAGATGTACAGTCCATCTTGTTACCTTTGCTGGAGGGTGCTAGTTCGTTCTTAACAGGCCATGGGGAGGTACTCATCTTTTGCTTGGCTTAGAAGCTTTTAAAGTTCCTGATATTTTTTTTCTAATGGACTTAACGCAATAAAAGTTGTTGGTTGACTTCTTAAGTCATGATAACCTTTGTGTGATTGTTTGTTGTCCTTCACTAATGGTCCCTAAGATATGAACCGGCTCCATCAAAATGGGAACAACTCTTAGACAAAATGTTTACCATATTTGATGATATATCATGTCTGTACTTGATGTTCAGACTTTTTAGTTATTCTGGAGCAATGATTGTATTTGATTATGAAAGAAGAAAAGGGAGATTTCTATAAGCAGTTCTCACCTTTGTGCTTTCTGGATATTGTATGCAAGACCCTTATTTGTTAATAATCATTAAAATGGTGCGTTCTTAAGGTTCAAAATCTCAGGTGTGCTGTATTTACTCTTGATGTTTACACGAAGGACTCGTTTAAGGATACACTTTGAAACAATTTGTACTTTCTGCAGGCAATAAGGGTTAGTGAAGGCTTTCGTCTTTTTTCCACAGTATCGAGCTCAAGGTTAGATGCATCCAATGTGACAACAGGTATGTTCTCACATGTTTATAGAAAATTGAGCGTTTCATGAATAGGGAAATATATTAACATCTGAACTCTGGAGTCTTATGGCATTCATAATTCTAAAACAGTAAACTTTTAGGTCCCGTTTGATTTGCAGGATTGGATTGGATTTGGAGATTATTGGAATTGAATTCCATTCCAATTCCATGTTTGATTTGAAGAATTTCCAGGATTTGAAATCCCGGGATTTCATTGAAATCCCACACATAGAATTTTGAACTCCCACGGGAATGATTGGTATTTTATGGGAATTCATAGGATTTGTGTGTAATAATGCTTTAAAATATGTTATAAACATTTGTATTGTAGTAATCAATTAATAAATTATTTTTATAATTATTTATAATTTGTTTTTGTAAATTATTTATGAAGAATGGAATCTAATTCCATTCCATCCTACAAACCAAACACACCAAAGATTTCAAATCCTTCTAAATCCAAATCCCTCAAAATCATTTCATTAAATCAAATGCCCTCTTAATTTTTTTTCCTTGTATTTTTTCCTTGGTGTTAGATTAATAGAATTTCAGTAAATTTATTGTTCCCTATGACAATAGTGTTTCTTTATGTAGTTTGTTGGTATGCTAGTTTCTTTTTGTTAATGCTTTGCGGATGAAGGGCTGTGGCATGTTTGTACTTGAAGTTCAGTCAATTATATATTACCAAAATACCCATCTCCTGAGTAGTGTTGTACAAATGGTTAGAAAGCTTAAATCATCATGATCAGCTTCTTTTGTCCTTTCATATGTAGCTAGGAACTCCCTTGGTGCATTATGGAGGAGAGTAATGGTTGCCCCCCCAAGTAGCAGCGACTTGCAAAGTATTGTGAAAGCCTGGTACCCGGAATTGGAATCTCTTTGTGGAAAACTTATAGGTGCTCATCAGAATTAATTTACTTCGGAATGGTTCATACTTGTTGCCCTAGAACAATATCATATTATGGTCTTTTGCCTCCTTGCAGAAACCTTTGAAAAGGTTAATCAGCTTTCAGGCTTCCAACTTGGAACTTCTGTTACTTTTGCATCTCCAGGCAGGTTTTCATTGAGGTAATGAGCCATGATTCTGGATTACTATTTCACGTGATAACTTATTTCTTATGCACTGGTATTTATGTATCCTTCTGTACTGGCAGGGATCTATTGAAGTGGTGCAAAAGAATTGCTGGTTTGGGTTTCCATTTTCTGGGGGATAATCTATCAGCTTATGTGTCTAAGTGCATCTATCAAGAGGTTTGATATAAGCATTGCTCTTCTTTTCGCTTAATCTATTGATCATATTCTCGACTTCATGGTTGATATAAGGATTTTGTTTCACAGGCTGTGGATGTTTTTGCAACCTCTTCAAGCTTAGTGGAAATGCGGATGAGAATTATGAGAGAGTTAGCAGAGATGTGGGCAATACCGATTTCAAGTGCCAATACATTATTTCCCGTTGACAAACCTGTTGTTCAGGTTTACCTTCTTATAACGTAAGATATATTGGTGCTAGAAAGTTCAGTTACTAGTTTCTTAACATTGAATATTTTTCTGCAGGACATGCGGACTGATATACGTATTGGACGAGTAGCTCTTCAGCGGACATCGATGCCTGTGAGTTACCATTTAACGTTATTATGTTTAAAAATATACAATCAAACCTTTCGCTTCTTCTTTTAATTATATTTAACGTGCTTCTTAAAGTCATCTCTTGGGAGCAAGCCATTCGTTGAGATTCGTACTTCATTGCATGTCTTGGAAAGAGTAGCTGGATCTGTTAAGTATAACGAACCTGTTCTTTTGGTTGGTGAAACTGGTACCGGGAAGACAACGCTGGTACAGAATCTGGCTACAAGGCTCGGTCAGAAACTTACAGTTTTGGTATGTTTAGACAAAGGCTGGTTGAACGTTCCTAGGTGATAGAATCAGTTTGATAATGGAAAGAATTGTTATGGCCATCATATAATATATTTTTCCTCAAAATTCATGTTGCAGAATTTGAGCCAGCAAAGTGATATTGCAGATCTGTTGGGAGGGTTTAAGCCAATGAATGCACAATTTTTATGCCTCCCTCTTTATCAGGAGTTTGAAAGTCTGTTTAGAAGCACCTTCTCTTCAAAGGTATGGTCTATCTTGGCATTTTCTACTTGCTCTCTACGTGGGTGCTTCTATGTTTGAGCGATGATACATTATTTTTTTCTTGATCACATACAGGATAATGAGAATTTTCTTGCCATCTTAAGAAAATCTGTCAGTGACAAAAATTGGAACATGTTATTTAGTGGTCTTCAAAAGGGTGTTCGGACGGTAGTTAGAATAGGAAAACACAAGTCTGGTTTAAAAAGAAAAAGGCCGTTGGGTGAAGAATTAATAAAATCATGGGAGAGTTTCTCTTTAAAACTTGAAGCAGCTCATGCTCAGATTGGTGGCTCAGACGGGATGGTGTTTTCATTTGTTGAGGGAGTTTTTATCACGGCCCTAAAAAATGGGGACTGGATATTGCTAGATGAGGTCAATTTAGCTCCTCCGGAGACTCTTCAGAGGGTTATTGGCGTTCTTGAAGATGAAGGTGGGTCTCTTTGTTTAGCAGAGAGAGGAGACGTCGATTACATTTCTAGACACCCGAACTTCCGCATATTTGCTTGTATGAATCCAGCAACTGATGCTGGTAAAAGAGATCTTCCCTTGCCATTAAGAAGCCGTTTTACAGAGTATTTTATGGATGATGTGTTGGAAGATGAAGATTTGATTCTCTTTATCAATCGATTTATGGATGGCGATCATTCAGTTAAAGGATCAACCAATAAAGTCTTAAATTTTTATAAAATAGCAAGGAAGGAATCGGAGGAGAGGCTGCAGGATGGGGCTAATCAAAAGCCCCAGTACAGTTTAAGGTCTCTTTATCGTGCCCTGGAATATACAAAGAAGGCGAGACGCACTTTTGGATTCTTGAAAGCTATTTATGATGGATTTTCGATGTTCTTTCTTACTATGTTAGATGTTCCTAGTGCCAAGTTAATGAACACATTAATAGTGAGACACCTCTTGGAGGGAAAAGTGGCCCCACATGTCCCTTTTGATAGGTACATCGTGGTCGGGAAGGACTCCAGATCCGCTGAGTTCTTGGAGAACTATGTTTTGACTGGAAGTGTCAGGGAGCAACTTAGCAACTTGGCTCGCGCTATATTTATAGGAAGATATCCAGTGCTTCTACAAGGGCCCACATCTAGCGGAAAGACTAGCCTTGTTCAGTATCTTGCGGCAATAACTGGCCATGAATTTGTGAGGATTAATAATCATGAACACACCGATCTTCAGGAATACTTGGGTTCGTACATAACTGATGGCACGGGGAAACTTGTCTTCCAGGAAGGGGTGCTGGTTAAGGCTGTTAGGCATGGCTATTGGATAGTCCTGGATGAGCTTAACCTGGCTCCATCTGATGTGTTGGAAGCATTAAATAGGTTGCTTGATGATAACAGGGAACTTTATGTACCTGAGTTGTGTGAAACTATCCATGCCCATCCAGATTTTATGCTGTTTGCAACTCAAAATCCACCTACGTTTTATGGTGGGCGCAAGATGCTATCTCGAGCATTCCGCAATAGATTTGTGGAGATCCATGTGGATGAAATTCCACAAGATGAACTGAGCACAATATTGGAGAGCCGTTGCAAAATCCCTGCTAGCTATGCAAAGAAAATGATCGGAGTTATGAAAGATTTACAGTTACATAGGCAGAGTAGTAAAGTTTTTGCTGGAAAACATGGGTTCATTACTCCTCGTGATTTGTTTCGCTGGGCTGATCGGTTCAGGACGTTTGGAAAATCGTATGAAGATTTAGCACGTGATGGATATTATCTATTGGCAGAAAGACTGCGTGATGATAAGGAGAAGAAAGTTGTTCTAGAAGTTCTGGAGAAGCAACTTCGAATTAAACTTTCTAGTAATGTATTGTACAAAGAGGTAACATCTCATAATTTACTACAATTCTCTGTTCCTTTTGATAATGGTAATTTTTATTATTTTTTGGTAGCCTTAATGCATAGACTTTGTGTTGCATCACAGCCTGCTACTTGATCCTTTAGTTTTTAAGTGTTCCCATGCATTTGTTATTACATATTTATTCCAAAAAATTGCAGATTTTAAAAAGTAATCGAATAGCTTGATAAGGTGGAAAAGATGTAAAACAGAATGTGCGCAACAACAAAACGAAGAAATGTGGTACATTACAGGCAATAAAAACAGTAGAGACATTAAAGTTATGGAGAATGTACAGTCGACTAAACAGCTTCAAATGAAGTGACACATCCAAGTCTAAACATCTTAGTGCCTAACCGAGGAAGGAAATTTGGCAAAATGATAGTTGTGTAACCCCTTCCAGTTCTCAACATTAGAGAACCCTTCAATATGGAGGCAAAAGTTAAAACACAAGTGATACTATCTTGGTGTTGCTTCAAACCCTTGAGCAACCATCTAATCCTCTATTTTAACATTTAGTTGTAGCACATATACATCTTGCAAAACCCCAATTCAATGACCAAAGTCAAAGGGGTCCTGTTTATCTGTTTGATCCTAACTAGGCATAGAAAGGAAAAGAAATAGGATGAAGAATAATGATTGATGAAAGATGTGCACTCAAAAGGATTTTAGGTCGATAGTTCTCTTTCCATGTTGTACCATGATGAAGAAGAATACTTTCTAGAGACCCCCAACCACCAATCCTCACATGCATTGCTAAGGATCCAAGAGGGTAAAACATTGTTGGCACTTTGCATCTTGTCATAAATTATCTTCTGTCGTATATGATACAGTATATTACAAAGACCAAACCTACCTCAAACTTTTCTAGATTGCTCCATTTTGGTCTCAGAAACTCTCAAACTAGCATGCAGGTATGGGGATGCACCAGGGGGGAAGCTGCCAAATTTGGGTATATAATAAGTATGGATGGGATGCATTATCTGTTTAATTATTACCCAAAATTTGTCCGGTCTGTCAGCTGCTACTGAATATTATGATCTCTTTTCTAAGAATTTACAAACATCCAAGTCTTATGAAGTGTCAAGAGATGGTAACAAATTAGCCAACATATTCATACACTCTACACAATTTGTAAGTACTAGAAATAATCAAGTTGATTAGGCTAAAATATTAACTTCATATTCATCAATATCATCACCTTGTTTAGATTAAAATATTAGCCCCATATTCATGTTGGCTGACTTCAACTTGAATATCTTTGGAAGACACCAAGTACTTACATTCTTAGGCTATTATTGGTTTCTGAAGCATCCCAATCCCCAATTATAAAAGTATATATGAGGTATCTGGTGCACATCAACAAATATGAAGTATCTCTGCTTTCTAGCTTTTGATTCATGAGAATATTCCTGACATTAATCTTGAATTTGCTTTAGTGGTAATCTAACTGAAGTTTTCAATTATTGGATATGTTTTAATGGGCTATGTTACTGATTTCCTGGTGGAACTTAGGAAAATGCAGCTGGCGATGCAGTTCTGAACGTGCAAAAATCTTTGGTCGGTTCTGAGGATCTTGGGGGGTATGTATTCTTATTTGTTTATGTTAGTTCTTTTTTGCTTACCATATCTAACTGCCTTTTCATTGTCATGCAGGGTTGTCTGGACTGATAGTATGTGGCGCTTGWACTTTCTTGTTGAGCGCTGTTATAGGTTAAGGGAACCAGTGCTTCTGGTTGGAGAAACTGGTGGTGGGAAGACGACAGTATGCCAGATGCTAAGTATTGCGCTGGGATCCAAGTTGCACATCTTAAATTGCCATCAATACACTGAAACTTCTGATTTTCTTGGGGTTCGTCTTACTCTTACTCAAGTTCTCATCATTGTCTAATTTACAGAATAACCAATTATCAGCTATGCACTTTTCTTGTCACTTTACAAAGCTTATTGACTAGTTGAGCGGTTACGTTATAAACTTTTATACAATAGGGATTCTATCCTGTTCGAGAAAGATCGGAATTAGCTTTGGACTTCAAAGTTTTGTGTGAGCAATTGCTGCAGTCAAAAGCTTATAAGCACTTTCCTTGTGAAACTGTAAGTTTTGACTTAGATTTATTGTGTTACAGTTTATGCCTCTCTCTGTGATGTATTTATGGTCCTTAACGCTACAATTATTTGCTTCAGCCAATCTCTTTAGACATTAATCAAGCTTCAAAGTCACTTGATCAAGTGACTAAGATGATAGAATATTACAGACAAGGTCAAGACCTTCATCCAGATGTCTCTGTAAATGAAGTTGATTCTGTTGAAGAAATTAGACAACGCCTATCTGTACTTCATCGGAAGTGGTGCACAATCTTCAATTGGCAAGATGGTCCTCTTGTTCAAGCAATGAAGAACGGTGATATGTTTCTTGTGGATGAAATTTCTCTGGCTGATGATAGTGTTCTTGAAAGATTGAATAGTGTCTTGGAACCAGAGAGGAAATTGGTGAGTTTTTCTTTCTAGAGGAAATATTATGAACCTGCTCCTGTGAGTTATTTTATACTTTAGCCATAACACTTCTGTGTATGAACAAAGCTGCAAGATTCTGAATTTAGTCCGACTCTTTAGGCAAACAATTGCAAAAGTTGCAAGCCTTCTATCTCAGAATGATTGTGGTGGCTAAAGAATGAGACACCTTCATAAAATACTAGACCAACATCCTCACCAATCTCTCCATACTTCTACGCTATAGAGAAAAAGTTGCTAAAACTGGCTTTAGGTAGCTCCTATTTTGATGTAGCTGCATCATTCCATCGACACTAGCTTGCCTGTCTTTTATCCTGTTTCGGCATTCTTTCATCAATTGTTCCAACAATTTCATAAACAATAACTTATATGGTAAGGGGATGGTTTATCATATGCTAATTAAAATACACGAGTATAATGTGATCTGTATTTACTCTTTCATTACTGATCAAAGTCTTTGTTATTGTCATCCCATAAATTTGGTCTGGATTAGGTTATGCTAAATGTTACCAGAAATTGCTTCTTCCCTCTAGAAAATTGTTGTGAATTCTTCAATACATGCACACTTAACTAGTTTCCACTTTTCTTAAATTCCAGTCTAAGAATATACTCTTAACTTTATGCTTGAATGGATAAATAAGACGTGTGGAGGGATTTATTTTCTTTATTTAAGGATATAAGGAATCTATTTTTAATGCTCAATAGTTATCTGCCCCATTTTATCATTTTTTTGCTTGTTATAATCTGTTTGTTGTAATTTCAAAAGCCATAGGCGCTTCTAGGGACATATAACCATTGCAACAGAAGTGGGCAGATTCATCCTCAATGCACTTCTGTTCGATAATAATATTACTGTTTCATTGACCTGCTGTTTTGGTTGTATAATCTCAGAGTTGTTCCTTATTCAAGTTCTAAGACCTGATGACATTTTATCCATTTGGTTCTATGACCAAACATGAAGTACTAATAGGTTCAGTGCCCTAATTCCTATGCTTTTTAAATTTTCTTCTCTAAGTTCAGATCCTAAACAAATAATAGAGCTCCAAAGGTCAAGCACTAATAGGGTGGTGCCTCATTGGTTTGAGCTTGGGCTCAAAGGTCAAAAGTGCCTGGAGGTCCCAGGTTCAAACCCAAGGAGGAATAAAAGTCCCCTTATGGCCACGGAGGTTCAAATGCGGTCACTCCGGCTACCCGCAAAGCAGGTCGTCGCCCTGGGATTAGTCGGCTCGCATAGCGGGTTGGATATCTAGGTTAATCAAAAAAACAAAAAAAAAACAAATAAATAGGTATTTTTTTTCTTTTGTTTCTACATCTGGGTGATAATACATATATTTCTCCTAGTGACTCTAGTTGATGTGTGTGTGCATTATAGATGAACGATTGCTAGGTTATATAAGACATGTGATATCTGGTGAACAATTACCAGGTTATATAAGACATGTGATATCTGGTACCGAACTTCATCTGCAGAATATTTGTTGCTTCTTGTTGAATGACCCATTGGATCATCTTGTATCCCACTCTAACTTTCCAATTTCCATATTTCTGCTATATCTAACACCACCCTGTTAGTATCCAAACCTTGGTTTGCATATTTCTGTTATATAATTTCCGAAATTTACATTTGTAATACCATGTTTCTGTTCACCCATATTCTCTTCTTTGTTTTAGTTGAAGGCTTGTAGTTATTTGCCTTATTCAATCTTTATATGTTGAAACAATTTTTTTTGGCTTCATCAGTCTTTGGCGGAGAAGGGGGGGTCCGATCTTGAGAAAATAACAGCACATCCGAAGTTTTTTATTCTTGCTACCATGAATCCTGGTGGTGATTATGGTAAAAAGGAATTATCTCCAGCACTTCGCAATCGCTTTACAGAGATATGGGTACCACCTGTGAGTGAGCTTAATGAGCTCAAATGTATAGCATTAGAGAAGTATGTGATTTTTTTATCCCATGTGCCAAAAATTCCATGAGTATATCATGTAGATTGTAAGTTGCTAATGCATATCCCATTTTGCAGAATCTTAAATCCTGAAATCTCTTTTGTGGTGGATGTTATGATAAATTTCTGGGAGGTATGATTTACTTTCAATTATGCCCCGTTAGTTCTATTGGACTGTTATGGAACGTAAAATATACTTTACATGATGATTTTTTCAGAATTAGTTTATGACTATAGTTTTTGCTGTTTGCAGTGGTTTAATCAGTTACAAACTGGAAGAATGCTTACAGTGAGAGATCTCTTGTCCTGGGTAGATTTTATTAATGTGACTCAGGAAAATTTATGTTCAGAGGTTTCATTATTGCATGGTGCCTTCCTTGTTTTGCTTGATGGATTAAGCTTAGGTACGACTTAAACCATTTTTTAACGTGTTGGCAATTAATGCCTTTTAGACTATGTTAACTAGTTTTAATAGTAATTCTGCGAGAAATGCATGCTGGTGTCATTTGTTTCTGTCAGTTCTCTGTATTTGTTGTCTTTGTTATTGATCTACAGGAACATTCTTAATGGTATCATTTCTCTTCTTTTTCTTATATCCATGGTGTTATTGCCTTTCTTTTATTAGGTACTGGGATTTCAAAAATTGAGGCTGAAGAGTTGAGGGAAAGGTGCTTGTCGTTTCTCATGGAGCAATTAAAGGTACTGTTCCATGCTTTTAGGCGGGTTTTGCTTCATCTTAATATATGGTCATTTTCATTATGTGAGACAGTGAGAGGAGATGCAGCAAAATCCTTCATTGTGCCATATATTGCTTCATTCTCTTCTTTTTCTTCTCTCCTATCTGTTTTGTATGTTAATTGCAAATCATATGTATTTCATATCTTCTATCCGTAACTAATTACCTGACTAACTGAAATGCATAGCGTTCGCTGCAACAGGAGAGCAAACCGAGATTGAATCAATCAAACCTTTTGACAACGGAAAGTTGTGGTTGGACCGATCTTCTGAGGTCAGCTGAGGCGCTGTCTAGTAGAGGCATGGAGACGAACAATTACTTTGGAATTCATCCATTCTACATTGAGAAAGGTTGATGACAACATTGTTTCTTGCATAAAGTGAATGTGGATGTGTGGTTTGCATTTAGGCCCATTTATGTAGACAATTCTTCATAGGATGAGGGCCTGTGTTTCAGGAAAATATATGCAGTTCCTTATTTAGGTTTCAAAATTGGACGATGTGGCTGTGGTTTGATTATTCAATTGTACATTTCTGAGGAAGAGATTGCAACAAAATACCGGGATGGAATGAATTTCTGTAATTTTGTTTATTATACTAGAGAATTTAACCAAAATAAGTGGTATTACAAATGTTGAAAGGTAATTGTGTTTTGATATACATGGGGTCTTCTGCGGCTATTGACCTACTCTTGGACTGTTGAATACTTATCTAATGCAACATCTTTTTCTATAGGTGATAACCATATAGAGGCTGAAGGATTTGAGTTTCTGGCGCCAACCACCCGAAGAAATTCCTTGCGTGTACTGCGGGCTATGCAGCTTAAAAAGCCTGGTAATCGTTAATGATGTGGTCACGATTTCTAGAACTAATTACTGTCTCCAGACGGAATTATTTATGAAAGATAACCATCAAATGGAAGGTTCTTAACTGTCTCAATCTGTTTGTGCATTGTAGTTCTATTGGAAGGAAGTCCAGGTGTTGGAAAAACAAGCTTAGTCCTTGCTCTTGGAAAATTTTCTGGACATTCTGTTGTACGGATAAACTTATCAGAGCAGGTCATTGAAATTCTGCCATTTTTTTCTTGGCTTTTCTATTGCATTCTTGTTTCCATTCACACCAGTGCTAACTTATCCGATTGCTGATCTAATCATAGACTGACATGATGGATTTACTGGGATCGGACTTGCCTGTTGAAAGTGAAGAAGGAATGCAGTTTGCTTGGTCTGATGGAATCCTGTTGCAGGTTAGAAACAATTTCTGCTGTTTATATCTAGTTTTTATCAGGGCTGTAAACGAACCGAATGTTTAGCGAGCTGTTCATGAATCGTTGGCGGGAAGTTTGTTTTATGTTCGTTTATTGAATAAATGAACGAACATGGACACATTTTTTTGTTCATTTAGTTAAATGAACGAACATGAATATTGGTCTCGTTCGTTTACATTTGTTTATGTTCGTTTACTTTTGTTTATATATATAAATATTTTTATATATCATAACATTAATATGTAAAATATTAATTAATTTAAATTTTTAGGATTCTGTTTTATCCCTTCTAATTTACCCGATTTTTCATCTAGTTATGTTATTTTTAGGAACGAAATGATGAGTAATGGTGGTTACTTTTTTTTTTTCATTTGTGTTCGTTCGTTTATGTTTGTTCATTTACGTTCATTTAGCGTCTTAATGGACATAAACGAACACAAACAAGCACATTTTTTAACGAACTAACATGAACACAAAAAAATTCGTTTGTTTACCTCCGTTCGTTTGCTTGGTTAAGTTAAATGAACGAATGCGAACAAGTCTCCGTTCGTGTTCGTTCAGTTCGTTTATTTATAACCAACTTTGCAAGTATGTTTGATATCTTTACTATTGGATCAACCAGGCACTGAAGAATGGATCTTGGGTTTTGCTTGATGAACTTAATCTTGCTCCTCAATCTGTGTTGGAGGTGTGTCTTGATCTCCATATCCTATGCATATTCAGTCAAAATTTTATCATTGATGTCTGTACTGACACATTTGTTGGATTTAGGGGTTGAATGCTATTCTAGATCACCGAGCAGAAGTTTTCATTCCGGAGTTGGGTCATACTTTCAAGTGCCCTTCATCTTTCAGAGTTTTTGCTTGTCAAAACCCTTCTTATCAGGGGGGCGGGAGGAAAGGCCTTCCTAAATCTTTCCTCAATCGTTTTACTAAGGTCTTGCTTGTAACGTCATATTAAGATGCCTTATGTGTTGGCTTATTCTAAAAGGAAGACATTCTTTATGAAATGTTTTGACATCTTTTCAGGTATATGTTGATGAATTGGTCGAGGAAGATCATCTGTTCATCTGTACTTCTTTGCACCCATCTATCCCAGTTTCTTTGCTTTCAAAGCTGATTGCATTCAATAAGCGTCTGTACGAGGATACCATGTTAAACCATAAATATGGACAAGCTGGATCCCCATGGGAGTTCAATTTACGAGATGTTATTCGTTCATGTCAGATCATAGAAGGTTATTTTATATTTTCACTTTGTTCATCTATTCATGTTATTATTCGAGCCATGTCTAAATTTTGAATGAAATGTTAACTTTCTAGGTGCTCCTGAAAGTTCAAAAACTGATTGCTTTTTGAACACTGTATATGTCCAAAGGATGCGTTCATCCACAGATCGTCAAGAAGTCATTCAGCTATATGAGCAGGTTTTTGGGTTAAAGCCGTTCATAAATTTATACCCAAGGGTGCAGCTTAGTCCAGAAAACTTGATTGTCGGGAGCACTTGTGTGAAAAGGAATAATATTCAATCTTCATCGGTATCTTCCTGTGAACTAAAAATTCTCCCGGGGATGCGTCAAAGTTTGGAAACTGTTGCACAGTGTTTGCAGCATCAGTGGTTGGTCTTGCTGATTGGTCCAGCAGCATCTGGTAAAACTTCTTTGATAAGATTATTGTCAGAGCTCACTGGCAATGTGCTAAATGAACTTAACCTTTCGTCTGCTACGGATATATCTGAGTTACTTGGATGCTTTGAGCAATATAATGCTATTCGCCATTATCGTCTGGCCATTGAACATGTTGAACGCTACATGAACGCATACTGTTGCCACCAGATGGAAATGTCAGTCGAGGCATTCACGAAACGGAAGGATTTGATCAGCCGTTGGCTTTCCTTCTCATCAAGTATCGATCACAGCTCTGCGAGTTTCGTTTCTGCCGGAAATTGTAGTACGGGACCCTTTCATGCTCTACCTTTGTTAGTCGATATCATTGAGGATCTAAAATTGGATTTGGAAAACGATAGCGAAGATCTCGATAGATTGCTGAAGACTGTTAGAAAGTTGCAAGATGATCAGAGGAAACTGCTTTATCCTGCAAAGTTTGAATGGGTAACTGGGTTGCTTATTAAGGCTATAGAGAATGGAGAATGGATTGTACTCGAGAATGCAAACCTCTGCAACCCTACGGTCTGTATTACGTTTAAAGTTTTCTTTATCCTATAAACATTCATATATACGTCTGTTCTCTTTATTCTTACGGTCTGTATTTCAATTTTTTTTGGCTATAGGTTCTTGATAGAATCAACTCTCTAGTCGAGCAGTCTGGATCAATAACAGTTAATGAATGTGGAACGCTGGATGGAAAACCGTTGGTCCTTCGTCCTCATCCTCATTTTCGGATGTTCCTCACTGTTAACCCTGCGTATGGTGAAGTATCACGAGCAATGCGAAATAGAGGTGTTGAAATTTATCTGATGCAGCCTTACGGTTTACTTGGTGAAACCTATGGTGAGAATGAACTCAAAGACGTGAAGAGATTTCTTGTCCTCTCAAATATACCGGGTGGCAATTTAGTTGATGCAATGGCTAAAGCACATCTTTCTGCCAAGTGTGGTGGGTTGCAGCATAATGTTAACATTTCGAACCTTGAGCTTATGCGATGGGTACAGTTATTTCAGCGGCTTCTCACAAATGGAAATCAGGCCTTGTGGAGCCTGCAAATTAGCTTTGAGCATACGTATCTTTCCTCTTTAGGCGAAATTGAGGGAAAAGGTATTATTGATGAAGCAATTGGTTCTTACTTATCAATGCCTGAACTTTACAATTATAAATCCTGCTCAGATTGTTCTTTATGCTTGCCTGGAGGATGGCCTACAACTTTGATGGTACGCGATTTTGTATGGCACTCGATGGAAACTTCTGTTAAACAAAACTGCATGTTTCTAGAGTATCTGGGTACTCAGATGGCCTCACATTCATTTCGGGTTTCTTTGGGTCAGTGCCCAGTGGTAAAGTTTTCGTGTTCTTTGAGGACATACTTGACGGATATAGAGCTATTGCGTGGCATGATATTTCCAGAAGCTTCAGATGTTACAGGGTTGGTCGCTGGTAACCAAACAAGATTTGATGTGGCATTCACATACAAAAGGCTTCAGTTTGCTGCTAACTGGACCATTGAACAGGCTACGGAAAATGGCCTTAAAGTGTATCTTATATGGTTTGGACGGTTTGGTGATTATTTAAGGGGATATTGCTCATTCTTTTGTTCTTTCCTAGAACTTCTGAACAAAGAACTGGACCATTCTATCTGGAGCTGTATTAGACACTGTCGTGGGGTTCTTATGGCGCATGATGGTGATAATAGGGATTTGATATCGGAACCAATGCTTTCACTGGATGTAGCCAACTTGAATGCATCAGTATCGAAGTCGTGTAGCCAACTTCTTGCTAATGCCATCAATTGTGTTGGATTGTTAAGGCTTAGCTATCAACAGTGGCATGCCGAGAGTGAGTTTGAGTATGGTGATAAGACACGGTGTTTCATTCCTGTCTTACAATCCTTAAGAAGGCTTGAAGAAAGAATTCTTGATATGCTCGTTGAGACTCCTTTCTTTGATTTGCTTTTCGAACTCTATAGCAAACTCATTGATGATCACATATCTGCTTGGAATGGCTTAGTTTCGTCTCAGTTTGATTGCATGTTCATTTCTTGGCGCTCTTTGGCAAAGGCTGCCAAAAAGTTGAAGGAGTTCTGTGCAAATGAAGTAGAAACATTTCAGGTGCGCGTTCTTTGTCACTTCCTCTTATATTTCATTCCCTTTGTACTGAGAATAAAGTTCGATTTGTGTAGGATGACATCAAAAATTTGGAAAGAGGTCTTTCTTGGTCTTTGAATTCACAGAGGTCGTTGCTGTGGGCATATGGTGGTCATCCATTTTCACCTTCTTCTGTTGAGATATATAAAAAACAACAACAATTTGTCAACCTTTGTCATTCAATTTGGACGAGAGAGATCAGCCTTCAGGAACTAGGTGCAATTTATTTTGTTGTTTGATATTTTATGTTATCTTGTTTTATCAGCCTACTAGTACCCTTCTGATATGCTTCAATTTTTTGTTGCTTTTTTCATACTATTTGACTAGTTCTAGCTTTTTGCTCATGTTTTTTTGTAGCCCATGAAGGCTTCATTGAGGCTGCTGTTTCTACCAATCGTGAACTACGTTTTCTTGCCATGCAAGGTAAACTATCACCACAATATAGCTTTTTTTGCCATAAAAGTTTCCACTTATAGTATGCAATGTAACTGTTGATCTTCGTTGTGCCAGATATGTTTCTACTGATTTGGTTCTTTTGAATAAATTTTTGGGCCAATTGACTGCATTTGCTGTTCTTATTTATTGTTCCTTCCATTTCCATCAACTATTTTGAACAAAGAATTATCTAGGAGCATTTTGTACATCCGTCACAATCTTCTATTTCTGCTGTATGAAGGTGTTTGCATGTCTGCATATATCATGAGCAAGGTGGATGAAGACGACCTTGATGTCTTAAAGCAGTTGGAGGAGATGTTTCAGGTATCATGCTTGAAAGTTCAATTTTACCCCATGTATCCAGAGTTTTGAAAAACAATGAATGACAGACTCGTTTTGTTTTCAGATCCTATTAAGCAAGTTCCATTACGAAAAGGACAATCTGGAAAGGACTGCTGGGACGGATGAGCAAGTGTCATTGTCTGCTGATGTATCTAACTGTTGTGTATTGAACATAGACATGCTATGTCAACCTTCTGGTTTGAGCTGTTGGCTAGATACTTCGCTTATAAATGATTATAACAGCTTTGGTCTTGATATGAGGCTACTTCAAGAGCTATCCAATATCGTCACTCTTGATGGGAGGGAACTGGAATCTGTAAGATTTAATGACTTTCTTTAGGTTATGTTTGCATTGTTTATTTTGAGTTTATTGTTGGTTAAAAAGATGTGTAGTAAATGTACCTTACTTTTGTGTTCAATTCTATTCATCAAAACAAATTCATAGAAGAAAATTGCCACAGAAAAGAAAGATAGGTTCTTTTTGTTATTCATGCAGTTTTTTCCGTGATGTGCATCCTTATTGCTTTGATGGTTATTACTTCTTAAACTTTGAAGAGCTTCATGGTTGTATGACCATAGTTTCCATCAGACACCATTCATGAAGAAGAAAATCTAGGCACACTATCACATCCACTATATATAGAGAGAGGTGAGGTTCAGGGAAAAAACCCCCAAAAAATGAAAAACTGAGGAACACCCTGATAACTAGTCATCTGGAGATGCACATGTGCATACAAGGAATTGAAGCTGTTTCATGCTTTTTATGCACGTGTGCATTCTATGCACATGTGCATACCGGGTAAATTGCTTACAAATTACTTGTATGCACATGTGCATACCGTCCAGATGAATGGATACCAGGGTGCTGCAATGGATACCAGGGTTCTGCTCAGTTCTTTTTTGCGGTTTTCCTGTGAACCTAACCCTATATATATATATATATATATATATATATATATATATATTTGCTCTGAGCACTATTAACTCGACCATTACTTTATTTTCTTAGGGTTTATCTCGTTTGCGTTGGCTTCTGGAATCTACCTTGAAGTTTTCACTTAACTTTTCTTCAAGGCCTCCGAGCGATTTCTCTCCTTATCAGAAAGTTGTATGGATTCTTGATGCATGGACCTCTGTCAATTCTGGTCAGTGCAACTTCTTCCCTGCAAAGGTGATTGCACCATAATATTTAATTGTTATGTTTTTCAAACTTTTTGCAGCTCATGCAAGCATTTCTAGTACGGTTCTAGAGATGTGGTTTAATTGGCACACATCTTTGTGGAAGCATCATCCAAATCGTGAGAAGGTATGCATCTTGGTGCATTATAGTTAAAGCCAAGATGATCCATCCATTTGTGCAGGCAGTTACTTTTTGTTGTACTTGATGCAGAACATTTTGAGCCAACATGGTAGTGCAGGTCTGGTACCGAACATGCTTTTTCAGCCGGTAGCAACACTGTCCTTAGACAAGATTCTGTAAGGAAAAATTCTGTTCATATATTTCATGAATCTTAAATGAAAAGGGCACAAAATATTATCTGAGAATAAGTTAAATAATAAAAAAGATGATATTAATGCTCATCTTGAGAATCTATTAATAGTTGCTCTCTTCAATTGCTGCATTTAATTTTGTTAATCTTCGTGTCCTCATGAAGGCGACATCCAATTGGCATCAAAGATCTTAATGCGCATAGCTTGAAACTTGGAGTTGCTTCCCATAATCTATGGATAAGTTCTCCACATGTTGCTGAGTGCCGTCGTTTCTTTCTGTCCTCTGGTCGATCTCTCTTTCAGCAGGTGACTATATTTTCAGGGTATCACAAATTGTTGCTTATTGTTTAAAGAAGTTTCCAAATTTCTAACCATGGTTTTTGTGTTTTCATCTAGATAATACTTGCCCATGAAAAGTCCTTCGAAGATGATGACTATTCTTTGATGAGATCTGTATTCTTTTCAGCTCAGGTAAAGGTAATTATATAAATTCATTACAAGTTGATTTCAAATGTCGGTTATTCTTCTCATTTGATGATTACATCCTTCATTCTGGTGAAAACAGCAAACTGATGTGAGTGTTATTACCTCTCTTCTCGCATCATCAAACCATGAGGTTCTGAAGTCCTTAATAAATCCATTTATCGAGCCACTGCTTCATGTGCTATATGGCAAGAATTCTACAGGTGAAAAGCAGATGATAATTCGCTGATCCATGTTTCATCAGTGTTTTCTTGTGTTGTCAGATCATTGTAGTACTTATTATTTGAACTCCATGTTTTTTTTTTTGTAGATTCCTTGTTTGATCTCGGTTGTGCCTGGTTACGAATTGGGGGTTTGCGTTATCATCTTTTGGTACGCTGCGATGATGTGGATCCGGCGGTGAAGAAGAATTTCAAATATTTTCAACTTATGGAGAGGATTGCCTCACTTGAACTAGATATAGAAGTATTATTTCTCGTATTTTAAATGTGATTTTAGTCATTTTTTTTAAATATTCTAACAGGCTCAACTCTTTCCTAGGTGCGACGTGAGTGTGTGCATCTTGCAGGATGTTTCTCGTTAAGTGAGGCTGACAAGGACAGAACAAAATTACTAAACAATCTTAAAGCTGAAAGAAACAGGCTCCGAAGACAGGTACAATTACCGGTTTTCTCGTTGCTTTTAGTTACAATAATACAGGAGTCTTAAGCTACTGTTTAGTTCTTTTTGTTTTTCGTATATAAACATTTCTTCCAATTGCTTCTTCTAATTGTCAGGTTGTGTTCCGTTCTGCTCCTGGGAAATTTAAGAAGTTGAGATCTGAATGTGACGATTTTTTTAAATTAGTTTCAACTCCCTTTGGTCTTGTAAAGAACATGGGGAATTTAAAAATGCAACGAGTTGCTGACCAGGTGTATAATTGGCAGGTATTGATGGGCTTATCTGAATGAATTATATACTTGTAAAGATAATTTAGCACTACGGAAATTTCCTTATGTAACGTGGCTAACTTTTGCCTTTCAAATGTGTCAAATGCCCAATTTTTTCAGGAAACTGCAACACGTTTTGTGGACCGATTATCTAATGAATACTCTGAGTATGTTGATATTGTTCAACCAATTCAGCTTGCAATATATGAGATGAAATTAGGCTTGTCACTGGTTCTGTCAAGCAATCTACGGAATCAATTTTTGGATAGAGTTGGGCAGAATAATATCGATGCTGTTCTGGTAATATATAAAGATTTGTTGCTTTTGTTAAACAATAGTACATTTTCATTGCAATTATTGTCATAGTTGATCTATTGATCCTTGATTCTGACTTCTTGAATGGCAGGCAGCAATTTATTCATTTGTAAGGTTCCCTAGAGGCATCACAAGAAAAGATGTTTCTTATATAGAGGAAAGTTTCCATGCCAAACTTTCATGCTTCGATAACGCGTTCCCTACTTATATTGGGGAAGATGATATGAACATGGTGGAAAGTTTGGTCACTTTTTCGAGAGGCAATAACAATGATGAAGCGGTCTGTTACTGTTCCTCTTTATGCTTCTTATTGCAAATAATGCTACTTGACTTGCTTTATTCATGGTATCAAAGATGACTAATGTTGTATCATGTTTATAATAGGGATCTGTTTTGCAAATGAAAGCTTCAATTCAGCAAAATGTTCTTCTTCGTGTGGTGCATTATGTGGCTCAGGCGCATTTTTTTGACAATGCATCGTTCAAGGTGAAAACTATATTTAAATAATTGAAAAAACCTGTCTTCACAATCCATAAACAAAGTAGTTGTGTGCTTACAATGTTATGTTTCTCTTTGTATAATCATCATACATGGCTCGACATCAGCTCTTGGATAGGATGTTTGATTCGTTTGCAGACCTTTGGATGAAAATGAAAATTCAAGTTAGAACCAAAGAAGAGCTTGATTCCCAACAGTACAGATTCAGGCCTCGTGCTTTCGATATTAAAAATATCATCGAAATGGATGTCTCAACCCTTGAAAGTTCAATTGCAAATGAAGCATTTTCAGAGTGGAAGGAGTTAGCTTTTGAGGAAGTATCTGTTGAACGGGTAACATGTCTATATGCTAAGAACCATTTCCCTTAATACTTCTATTAATGCTTAGAGTGTAGTGTTAATGCGAATACTTTCTACTTGTAGAACAATGCTGATGAAGAGCATGAAATATTAGAGCAAGATTGGAATGTGCTGCTGGAATCTATGCTGAACAACATGGTGAATGTCTATACTACAGTATTTGGTTCAACAGATCTCCTTCAACCGGTTAGTTGACTAAAGCTCTTGTTAAACTTCTTCCTCGAAACTTGTGCTTTATGGGACTTTTTGAAAGATCCCACATTGGTTGGGGAGGGGAAATAAGGTTGCTTTATAAGGGACTGGATACCTCCTCGTCAGACGCGTTTTAAATCCGTGAGTCCAGGTGTAGACAAAGCAGAGAATATCTGATACGGTTGGCCCTGGATGTTACACTTATCTTGGTGCATTTAAATTTGTTGTTTGTCTTCTAATATGATTCCCATGATTACTGGAAAAGTGGGAAAATATTACCCGCTTATTGAGAAGTTTATGCTGATCCAGCTATTAGCCTGCCTTAATTAATTTGGAATAGATTCTTAGATGTGATAGGCAGAAGGGTTCTTTTGAGTTCATACATGATTTTTTGCTATAAAAATTGCATAATTCACCATGCAAATGCTTAGTTTAGTGGCTTTAGATCTCTTATACAACATTTTTCATCTGGTTCCAATTGTTGTTGGTTTTACTCAGGCTGGAAGTGTTGAAGTATCTGATTCTGAAAGGCTGTATTCTTTCTTGGACTCCTACGCTATGGGTACTAGAGTAATAAAAGGTGATTAATTCTGGGATTATGCAGTTTGTTTAATTACTATGCATGTGTCTAATTGCGTTAAGACACAGATCTCATATCATTTCGACTGTTTTCAGATCTAGAGGGCCTACTGTGTTCAAGTTTGGATTCTAAGCTTATCCCAGAACATGTACTACGCCTCTGCTTGGGGCATGATCAGAATTTTGTTTCATCTCCTCTACAAACACATGCTTACAACTTCTACAAGGTTTCGTGTGCTAGTTCCTTTTTTGTTCATTATACCTTCTACTTTTTAAATCATGACTTCTCTCAACCTGTGATATAGGATTCAAATGCTTCGTTGTTGGCTAAGATGGTGGTTCCAGTTATGAATCTTCAACAACGAATTCGTCATCTTCTTAGCGAATGGGATGATCATCCTGCTCTTCAGAAAATTGTGGACGTGGTTGATATGATCTTGTCTATACCTTTTGGTACCCCTCTTGCTAAGGTCATAATTTTACTTAATTTAAGTTGATATTGATCAGTGATGGATATTAGATAGTTATTTGGCGCTGGTTTTTCACCCAAAATTGCACACAAAAAGGCAATTGGTGATTGATATTGCAGTAAAAAGAAAAAAGCAAAAAATGGAGGCACTTGGCTTCGTGTTACTTAAAAATCTTTGTAATCATTTTGTAGTTCTTTTTTACATAGGCAGAGAACCCCATTAGCTTCTCATATATATTTAAATGTATATTGTTCTTCTCCTTTTACAGGCTTTGTCGGGCTTGCAGTTTTTACTTAATAGGGTTCGGAACCTTCACGAAACAGTTGCAAAGTTCCCGCTTTCTGGTTAGCATTTACTTTTGGCTGATTTACTTGGAGACCCGTTTTATAGCATTAAGGGTTCTGTTGAATTTGCAAATTGGAAGGCCAAAATCTTAGATCCTGATCGACATGGAAAGGGGATAGTTAAGAAAAAGATGGGCCTGTGATACAGATGAAGGATAAGGGTGTGGGGGTACAGGCTGCTCTTGCTTCAGAAATACTTCCACCCTGTTCCTGATTTGCGTCTGTAAAAGCTCAGAACGTTTTCGCTGTGGTAATACCGTAATTGTTGCTACCTTGTCTCATTTCTTATTTCATAATTTGCAGATCAATTAGATCCGATCATTGCTCTTGTGTCGTCATGGCAAAAGATGGAGTTTGAATCATGGCCTGCTTTGCTGGATGAAGTTCAAGCTCGGTTTGATACTAATGCTGGCCAGGTAAAGTACTAATCTTTATGTGATGGAAATGATTACAATTTACTTAAAATAAAACTGCAAGGGACAATTGTTATAGTTTTGTAGATTGACCAATTGAGAATGCAAGAAGAATTTAGATCGAGTTAAGAGGTTATAAAATTAGTTTAATCAAGGTTGTAAGTTGATTATGGTGGTTGGTATTTATTGTTATTTTCGAACTATTGGGGAGATCTATTTTTGACATTGAAGCATTGCATTGCAAATTAGAAAGCCAAGATATCAATTTGGCACTACAGGTTAGATACACACATATATATATATATATATATATATATTCACATACATACATATATATACACACAAACATACATATATATATATACATATATGTGTGTATATATTTGGTGTGGCCAAATTTTGAGGCACTGTAATGTCGGTGGATCTTGAGGCATCTAAGTTTCTGACTGCTTCCAAATGGTCAAGTGTGTGAGTTTTGCCGTATATAAATATTATATACTTCCAAAAAGAAGTTTCTGACTGCCCCAAAGGAGTTAAATGCATTGATGTGGATCTCAAAGGGTACCAAAAATTAGTGTACGATGCCTCAAACGTGCCTGAGAGGTCGGTAAGCACCCATCCGTTATTGGAATACAATGTAATGCAACTACAATTTATAACTAGCGAGTAATAAATTATTTGAGAACCCTTTTGGAATTACATGAATTGAATGCTTCCTGATTGTGGGTTTATTTTTTTTTATTTTGTGTTGTCTGTCTTGTTGGTTCTTATGTTTTGCATAATTTGTTATGACTCATGACTTGATTTCTTGGGTATTGCAGTTATGGTTTCCGTTATACTCAGTTCTTCGACAAAGTCATTCTGCTGATACCGATAGCTATAGTCAGCCCACCATGGAGAGGCAAGTTGGTAGCTTGTGATGTAACAGACAGTAACTTCTAAAAAATTAATAAAAATTTTAACGTCTCTAACTCTATTTAGCGTACAGCTTGGAGGAGTTTATTCAGACCTCAAACATTGGTGAATTCAAAAAGCGTCTTCAACTTGTGTTTGCCTTCCATGGCCATATCAGTACTGCTAGAAGTCAAGGATGTAATTCAAGGTTCGTCAATCTGCTGTCTTTCTTTCTGTAGATTTGGAGAAGTAAAACTAATATAAGAGTAAATCACAATTTTCGTCCCTATAGTTTGTAATTTATTGCTATTTTCATCCCTATACTAATTTCTACCTTTAAGTAAAAGGGACTAAAACTGTAAAGAGTTGTAAACCTCAAGGACCGAAACAACAATAAATTGTAAGCCATAAGGACGGAAATAGCAATGAATTACAAACTACTGTGACAAAACCAAAATTTCTAATCCACAGGGAGGAAAATCACAATTTTTAACAATCCACAAGGATGGAAAACATAATTTGCTCCTAACATAATGTAACAAAGATGGTGGGGCTCACTTTACAGCTTGTACAGTCCTTGACTCCTCATATATCGTCTTTGGTGGTCTAACATTGTGTCGTCTTTTTAATGTGCAGCCGTGGCCATGAGGACAATCTGAAGATTCTATACAATACGTTTGGCTTCTACATTCAGTTCCTGCCTATGTAAGTTAACATACTACAATTTTACTTTGTAATCTATAAGCACATGAGGTTCTCGGGTATCACATAAGTTTTGTAATCAACGGCCAAGGTTTTTTTGTATTTCAGTATTTTGGAGAAGTTAGCATCAAATAGAAAGAGTATTGAGTCGGAGCTGAATGAACTACTGAAGTTGTGCCGGTGGGAACGCAGTGAGTGGTATTTGACAATGGAGACTTCAAAGCGGACACGTGAGAAATTTAAAAAACTGATTCAAAAGTATACTGTAAGTGCCAACTAGTTCATGAATTGGGAGCCCCGTTATATGGCATACTCACATGTTGCATTGAGATCTTCAAATATTACTTTTTGCAAAATTATATTTGAAATGTTATATCTTACACTAAAATGATATGTTATTATGAGAGACATTCTGTTCATGAAAACTATATCTGCTCACTCAGCTTAAAACTTACGTGTACCATGTCTGAACCTCGGGCGATATGGGGTAAGATGAGAGGTGGAAAGGCATTGGTTGTGATTGTTCTTATTTTTACACTGTAGAATTGACTATTTAGGATTCTATAACTTGGAAGTGGGATATTTATCGAGTTACATGAGTTTGCTATTGTCTTCTCTATGTGCTACAGGTGAACTATGCAATATCTTCCTAAAAGTTCCAACTAATTATAGTTGCGTTTCTTGCCCCTTGCAGGATGTGCTCAAGCAACCTGTGATGCTTATTCTTACTCAAGAAGCAGCTCGAAGCGGAATAAAAACGATAGCAGTTCAAGGTCCCAATTTATTTAGCGATTCTTTTGAGAGATACAAGCAAGTTCTTGGTGTTGCTTGCCATGAAACTATGTTCAAAAACAAAAAGAGGTATTTATATGGTGTTGGTTTTATCCATCAATTATCAAACCTTTGTTACGTGTCTATTTCTCATTACTTGGATTTCGATGCAGATTCATGTGGCCCTCCACTTGGAGGGATAAAGTTGATGTTTCATTGGAAGATATGCGGCGTGCAAAGACTATCCCGTTGGAAGAAGCTAAAGGTTTGTTTTCTTCTCTTCCACTGTACAATATCCATTTTCACATATTCTTTTATTTAGGGGCTATTTGGTTCAGACATGGGAATGCAAATGGGAATGAAAATGGGGATGAGTTTTCGTTCCCCCCCCCCCCCCCCAAGTTTAACCCGGAATGAAAATTTAGGCTTCTGAGGGAATGCGCCCATTATATTATATAATACCAAACAGTTCATTTTATTTTCAATCCCATCAATTACTGCTTAATACTGCATTTTGCAGGCAATATAAATATAGTCAGCAAGTTCATTGATTTCCAGTCCTCAAGTGATCTGGCAAAGGAAGAGTGGAGACAGGTTCGCCACACATTTGAAAAGATCAGCACAAATATCATAGATTGTGGTGAACTTTGGAAGGATGAAAAGAAGAGTTTAGGAAAGAGAAGGGCTCTTTCTGAACTTCTAAAGCTATTGGATGGTTGTGGACTGTCTAAGCATAGATCGACATTCATGGAGGTATCAGATTATCTATACATTGTTTTTTGAAAATTTCGATCTAGTCATCAAAACCGATTAATTTTTAAATACATTTGCTCGTCTAGTTTAGAACAATATTTTCCTTATCCTTCGGTATAGAGCGAGAAGGTAGCATTTTCTAATGTTCTGATATTGTAGCTATTTCTAATGATTATTTTTTTTGGTCGGTAGGATCAGCCTACGACAAATAAGTCAAGCCGATGGTTTCTCCAACCAGCCTACATTATGGAGCATTTGCTACTCAAGGAAGGTCGATTGTCCTCTGGGAACGTTGATGTCGCTGATCTTGATAAGGTTCAAAATCTTCACATGGATAATCTAGAAACCGACTGGAAAATGGCAAATGAATACTTCTTCAAAAGCATAGCTTCCCTGGGCCATTTGCGACAAGTCTGCTTGAAATTTCACAAGGATTTTACACTTGAACAGGTAAGCTGGGAATAGATCTTCTGATATGTTTTATGGCAAATGCTTTTGATAATTCATACCAAATTTGTGTCAGCTTCTATTCGGTTGAGGAACTTCTTTTTTGTAGGTTAATAGGTCTGTTTCTTACCTTGATCATCTTGTTGAGATACAAAAATCACATAGAGCTGCTGCCTATGATTTTGCTGAGGGGTTGGAACGTTTTAAGAAGCGAACTTTGCCACTACAGAACTTATTCTCCAGCTCACTTCCTTCACCTGGTCTGCCCGGTTCTGTCTGCTCCTTTTCACACAATCAGGAGATTGTTTCCAAGTGCATCTGGCGACAAAAGGTTGCTTTTACTTTTTATTTAGTGATGCTTATATTAAATCTTATATGATGTTGCTCATACTTCAATTACTGTTGCAGCAATTGGTTGATACTATTTTCAACACCTTAAATGATGAGTGTTTGTTGCTAAGAAGTGTTGAAAACAACCATGTAGAAACTTGCAAGAGTGTTGGAGCTGCGGCCACTCAAATTCGTCTTTTCCTAGAGAAGTTTGTTTTCGACTTCAAGAAATCCAAGGTTGGTTTTCCATCAAGTCCTGTATGGATAACGTTGTCTGTGTGGATTAATCTGTCTGTAAAGATTGGGAAGGTTTTTGTCGGGAGAATTTTTTCATAGATGGAAGGAACGTGTTTTTTAATTGGGAGGGACATGTTTGGAAAAAAAACGTGGCTATTTGCATAAACCTCCCCCTATAAGCTTACTGAATAAGTTGTTTTCTATATCATTAAGCCACTACCAGTCATGTATGGCTGACTGAATAAGCTGTGGGTCCCATTAAGCTCATGAAGCTACTAACAAATAGACCCGTATTCTGATTGCTTTATCTGCTGTTTTTAATAATTCACAATTTCTTACACCATGTTGACAGGAATTGCTGGATAATTATCTTTTTGGCGATTGTGGCAGTCTAATAAGCACATCAGTTATACTGTATCCATATGGCATCACGAAGCAAATGGAACWGTTTGTCCAACATAACTTTTTGTTAATTAGGGATTTCAAGGAGCAATTACGTGCTTTTCGCAAGCAAGATGTGCATGCAGGATTAGCAAAGGATGTTCTTCTTGACCATTTTGAGGACATCTTCAAGAAGGTATAATATTTTTATAGTTGTACTGAGTTTTGATGCTATATAACTTTCGTAAATGTTCTTTAAGTCATGTAGTTTTCTACCCATTTATGTGAATTTTGTTGAACCTTTCAGGGCGACCTTTTAGATGAATACTATAATTCTGCTTTAGGTGCAAGGAATCAGCCAGAAAAGGTCAAAGAAGCCATTGATATTTCCAAAGCTGAAGCTGCGTTTGGCGAGTCTCTTAGGAAAACATGCAAATACATTGTTGATGGATTTGATAGAGTTAACTTGATGAATAATGGGCTTGATACTTCGGAAGATAACCTTGGAAATATCAATACCTGGCTATTTCTGTTTGCTTCTAGAGTAGAGAATCTACAGTTGCACACTGTACATGACGAATTAGTGAAAACGCTCGACTTTGCTGTAAGTGCTTCATCTTTCTTTGCCATTGTTAAACCAAACTAAACGAACCTGGTATATCCCACTTGAGGTGGGGTCCGGGGAGGGTAAGATGTACGCAAACCTGGCCTCTACCCCAACAGAGTTGTGTTTGTTCCTGTGAAGACCCTCCCCCCACACCTTTTTTTAGTTATTGTTGGTTTGGGCAATATATTTTACCTTTTTTAGTACTTACTGAGTTACTGATTCAACTCACCCAGGGAGAACTCATGAACCTCTATGGGAATGAAGAAACGAGTCTGTGTTTCGTTGAGGCACAGCTGAAGCATCTGTATTCGCTGTTGGACCTATTGATGACCTTTGGAAATGGTCTTCTTAATGACTTTATGGTGGTGCACAGAACAGTAAGTTTGGTTTTCCATAAATCTGTTTCTCAAGAAATAATATGCTTGTCGGCACTAACAAAAGGTGTCTCACAATAAACCTTGTTTCTTCATGTATTTGGTACAGTTGTCTATAGTTACTCATGTGCTTGCGGAGATTTTTGCTTCATTATACTCGCAAGGTTTTGGAAGCTCCACGGAAAGCCAAGAGGATGATGGTCATGATGATGCTCGAGATGCTAGTGGAACTGGTATGGGTGAGGGTGTTGGGGTTAAAGATGTCAGTGAACAGATAGAAGATGAAGATCAACTAGTTGGAACTGAAAAGGTACTTATATCCCCCAACTGTTGCTCCTTTCCTTTCCTTTGAATATGTGTTCGTTATAATGTATTTAGGGGCTGTTTGGTTGATTTTCCATTAGGTCCTTTATGGATAAAGTTGTCTGTGTTGATAAATCTGTCTGTATAGATTAGAAAGGTTTTGGTTTAGGAGGGTTTTCTCATAGATGGAAGGAGCGTGTTTTTAGTTTGGGAGGGGCATGTTTGGAAAAACTTGGCTTTCTGCATAAAGCTCCCCCCTTGAAGCTTACTGAATAAGTTACTTCTATATCATTAAGCCACTACCAAACAATCATGTATAGCTGACCAAATTAGCTGCGAGTCTCATTAAACTCATTAAGCTGTTAACAAACAGGCCCGATAAGTCTTTTATGGATAAAGCTGTCTGTATGGTTTAATCTATCGGTATAGATTGAGAAGGTTTTTTTTTTGGGATTTTTTTTCATAGATGGAAGGAACGTGTTTTTTAATTGGGAGGGGTAGGTTTAGGAAAAAAACTTGGGTTTCTACATAAAGCTCCCCCTTAGAAGCTTACTGAATAAGCCACTTTCTATATCATTAAGCCACTATCAAACAGTCATGTATAACTGACGGAATAAGCTGTGTCTCATTAAGCCCATTAAGCAGCTAACAAACAGGCCCTTAATGTTCTTTTTGCAGTCAGGTGAAGAACAAGATGCGTTGAATGATGTTCCCGGTAAAAATGATAAAGGTATAGAGATGGAACAAGATTTCACGGCTGATGCATTGAGTGTTAGTGAGGATTCTGGTGATGATTCTGACGATGAAAATGATGACCCACAATTGGATTCTGCCATGGGAGAGACTGGAGATGACGGTGAAGTTGTTGACGAGAAGATTGGGGCTGATAAGGATGATGAAAATGATGAAAATTCCAACAAAAATGAGAAATACGAGACTGGGCCGTCGGTTAAGGATGATGATTGTAGTGGCAGAGAGCTTAGAGCCAAGGAAGATGATGCAACCGCTACTGATGAAGCCGGAGAACTTGATCCTGATGAATCTAACAAACCGAATGAAGAAAATGTAGATCAAATTCCTGATGAAAACGATGATGTTGAAGATATGAACATAGACAAAGATGATGCATTTTCTGAACCGACAGGATTGAAGCCTGATGAGCCTGCTGTGGGTTCAGATGAAGATATTGACATGAATCAGCAAGATGTTGATCACAATGAAGATGATGGAACGGAAACGATGGATGAACCAGCTGGGCTTGATGATAATGAAGAAGAAAAGATGAACCCCGTGGAAGAAAATCCCGATGAAACTGAGCCCAAGCTGAGTGAAAATTCTGAGATGGATGCTGGTGAAGATGACCAAGAAAAGAATGGTGATGCAGACATGGAGGCACCGAGGAAAGATGTTACAGCACCAGTTCCGACTGATTTTGGTACTGAACATCAGTCAAATGCCGAATCTGCTACTCAGTCGAAAGGTGGGTCAAATGGAGCATCTATGAGAGACGTTGCACCCGAAGTCACATGGTCCAATAGCGATGATATACAAAGTGACTTGGCTCCTATTCGAGGTTTACCTAATTCTTCAGAGAATGAAATTAATATAGCGGATTCATCCAAAGGTGGGAAACTAAACGATGAGCATATTAGTCAATTACCAGAGTTTGATCCTTCATCTCTCCAGAAAAACGAGCCTAACCCGTTTCGTAATATTGGTGATGCACTTGATGGCTGGAAAGAGAGAGCAAAAGTGTCAGTTGATTTGGAAGAAAAGAATGATGAAGCTATCGATGAAATAGAGGATGGAGATGCAGATGAGTATGGATTTACTTCTGGATTGGAAAAAGGAACAGCTCAGGCACTCGGACCTGCATCAGCCGACCAAATCAATAAAAATATCGATGGGAAGGAGCCCATGGATGGTGATAGTGACGGTGATGGTGGAACAGCAGACAAGAAAGATGTTTCGGAAATGGAAATTGAAGAGCAGCATCTTGAAGCTCGACCTGTTAAGAATCATCCATTAAACATCGGAAATACTGTCCATGAAAAGATTGAAATCCCGGAAGCCGAGATCCCACAAGAAACCCCAGAAGTTTATGATGCTGGTGAAAGTGATGAACGGAGCCAATTGGATAGTTTGGTGCACATGAAAAGGTCTTGTATGAACGACGATATAAACCAATTTGGTAAACTTTCTGTCAGTGACGATGATCTGGGGAAAGCCCAGAATCTTGACGATATTTCCGCTGATATGAAAGGGGCTGCTACTGCTTTATGGAGAAGATATGAGTTGCAGACAACGAGATTGTCTCAAGAACTGGCCGAGCAGTTGCGTTTGGTCATGGAACCGACTCTTGCTAGCAAGCTTCAAGGGGACTATAAGACCGGAAAACGGATTAATATGAAGAAGGTATAATTTTTTGGTACCCTTGTGTCATACTTCCTCTTCCCGAAATTAATGTCCACAATGAAAAGGCACATCGTTAATCATTACATTTTTTATTAACTAAATGACCATGGGAGGGCGGAGGGTAGAATTGGAAAGTAGGCACTTTTGGAAGTGAATGCTTATTTTTGGACAACCTAAAATAGAAATGTGGACGTTAAATATGTGGGACGGAGGGAGTGTTTCTTATGGTTTTCCCGATATTGATGTTACTGGTTGTTTCTAGGTAATTCCTTACATTGCAAGTCACTATCGGAAAGATAAAATATGGCTGAAGCGGACGCGTCCTAATAAACGTAACTATCAAGTTGTGATTGCCGTGGACGATTCTCGCAGCATGTCGGAGAATAATTGCGGGAATGTTGCTATTGAAGCTTTGGTAACAGTTTGTCGTGCGATGTCTCAACTGGAAGTCGGGAACTTGGCAGTCGCAAGCTTTGGGAAAAAGGGAAATATTAGGTTACTACACGACTTTGATCAGCCATTCACTGGGGAGGCCGGAGTTAAGGTTAGTAGGGTAAAGTAAATTTAGGAACTGCAAATATTTTGGGAACTTGGGAACCAACGATTTCATGAATTATTCATGATTAATAACCCTAAGTTATGAATATCATGCATTGTTTCATTATTCATGATATTCATGAACATCTATCATGATATTCATTGTGAAGAGTTGGTTCCCAGGTTGTAAATGTCCTTGAGATTTGAAGTTGATTTGATATCAAATGTTGACTGGATCTTGTTAACTGGATCAGATGCTCTCGAGCCTGACATTCAAACAAGAGAACACAATTGCCGATGAGCCGATGGTTGACCTACTGAAATACTTAAATAACACGCTGGATGCTGCTGTAATGAATGCACGACTACCATCGGGCCAAAATCCATTAGAGCAGCTTGTTTTGATCATTGCTGATGGCCGACTACATGAAAAGGTGCCTTTTGGTTATATCGTCTGTCGGTTGTATCTCAATACTTTTTCCTTTTACTTACCTTTTGATTCCTTTTCTTTCGTATTCACAGGACAATCTGAAGCGTTGCGTTAGAGACATCTTGAGCAAAAAACGTATGGTTGCTTTTCTGCTGTTGGATAATCCAAAGGAATCAATAACAGAAGTATTGGTAATGGCTCTTCCTTTCTTCTGTATAGAATCTTTCAGTAATTTCGAACTTAATCTTGTTATACAAATATCTAAATTCCATCTTTCATAAAATTTCAAACTGGGAATCTTCATCTTGTTTTATATATGTATATATATATATATATCTATATATATATATATATATCTATATATATATATATATATATATATCTATATATATATCTATATATATATATATATATATATATATGGGTTGGGTTCACGTGAGACCAAACGTTTTTCGTGAGACCCGTAAGACCCATTTATGTTCATTGATCAACTTTATAAGTTAATGATCTAACGGTCTAAATTGCACGATGGCAATTTGGTAATTATTAAGAAATCTTGTGGCGTTTATGAATGTTTAGATTGTCAGATTATAGATCTAATCTAAAGGTTGAGAATTGGTCTTACGGGTCTCACGAAAAACCATTGGTCTCACATGATCTCAAGTCATATATATATAGTGAGGGTCATACGAGAATAATAACTAAATAAGAAAACAGTCCAATCACATGTGATTTTACATTAAAATCACTTGTGATTTGCTCGACTTTGGCTGTTGGTGTAAAGTCACGTGATTTTACACATTATTTGGTTGTTTTCGCACTCTCTTATTTTGTTACTGTTCTCGTTTGAACCTCCCTCTTTATATATTTTTATGGGGAAAATGATATAGAGACCGTCAATAAGTCAGAAACTCTATGAACCATTATTGACCACATATTTTAAGTTCCATAATTATCTTATTAATTACCTTATCAACCGTTTCCTAGAGGAATTCATTTTTTCCCATTTGAAATCACCTGGTCGATGCAATGTTTCGTTTTTGAAACGACATTATATTCTAAATAGATCAATCACGTATGTTGTTTTGTTGGTAAAACAACACTGTATTATCAAAACATAGCGACACACATCAACCGGCTGAAATAAAGCTGCTGCTGTTTCAAAAACGAGACAAAAAGTGAGATTTTTAAATATTTGGATTCTAATGGTTCAGGAATTTCAAACCCGGAATCTTGATATTTTTAAATCTATATGGATTCCATCTCTCAAACCGGGAATCTTGATCTTGTTAAATCTATATGGATTCCATCTTTCAAACCGGGAATCTCGATCTTGTTAAATCTATATGGATTCCATCTTTCAAACCGGGAATCTTGATCTTGATCTTGATAGATATGTGTATTTTTCCTTGTTTCTTTCAGGAAGCTTCGTTCGAATCTGGGAAGTGCGGTCTAGTTAAATATATGGATTCCTTCCCATTCCCGTTCTACGTGATCCTCAAGGACATTGAGACTCTTCCAAGAACACTTGCTGATTTATTAAGACAAGTAAGCCATATGAATACTGAATCTTTCTTTCTCTTCTTAAGACAAGTTGACTGATCCAATGCCCCCCTTGTTTTCTTGCAGTGGTTCGAGCTTATGCAACATTCGGGGGCGTAAAAGTGTCGATGGTTGGCTTTTGCACATGAAAGTTTTGAAAGAAATGTAGGTAGGGTTTTCAATAGAAGATGATGCATTGCATTTGTATTGTATATACAAGTCTTTCCTCATCTGAAATTTTGTATCAGTGAAAACCCCCAATCTTTATAATATATATGCTGGAGCTACTATTCTTTCTATGGTTTCAATTGGCATCAGTTCTTAATTCCATTGGAATTGAATTCCTTTCACTTTGCAAAACAAGGAATTTGTTCATTGCAAAACAAAGATTAACGAAGGAATCCAATTCTTAAAATAAAGTAAAGAGTAGATTATGTTTTTAGTCCCTGTAGTTTGTTAAAATTTTTATTTTCATCCTTATAGTTTTGAAATTACAATTTTCATTTCTATTGTTTAGAATTCTTTACCTTTTTTGTCCTTATTCTTAAAATATATTGCTTTTTCGATCTCTATGGTTACGTGATTCATTTTTTTAGTCCTTTGTATTTAAAAGTAGTGTTTTGACTTCAGAAATCAAAATTTCAAAATTACAGGGATCAAATTTGAACTTTTTAACAAACCACAGGGACGAAAATTGTAAATTACTCTAAAGCAAATGAAAGAAAAGGCTAATTAAGCAATCCCCTACCTAACAGGCTAACGTTGAGCTTTACCTTCTTTCACAGAAACGAAACTTAGAGATGATAAAAACCGGACCTGACCGGTCTTAAATCGGACCGGTCCCAAAGTTGTTTTTTTGAAGAAAATAATGTTCTTTTTATAACTGCTTTACACAAAATTATCATTAATGGTTTTTTAATCAAGAATTTTTAAATCTAGCTTTAAAGTACATTTTAAATATATATTTTTTTTTAATCTTGAAAAATAATATAGAAAATTTATTTTATTTTAACAAATTTATATTATAATTAAGAGTAAATTGCATGAAAAAAGTAATGGACTTTTAAAACTTTCATTTTGTATCTAAGATGTAAAGTTTTGAACAATTAAGTATTCGGGTAACCGGTTGAAGCATTAACCGGTTACCATACTAATGTGACGAGTGATATTAACATAGATATCTTAATACTGAGTTGGATACCACATCTCTAGCCACATCAGCATGGTAAACCGGTTACTCAGTTACTTAAATGTTTAAAACTTTACATCTTAGGTATCAAAATAAAAGTTTTAACAAGTGTGTTACCAAAATAAGAATCAAGTTAAAATACGTTATTTTTTCATGCAATTTATCTTATAATTAATGAAAACCTGGAAATAATTACATATGCAAAAGAAAAGTATCCAAAAACTTAATTTTTTATGTGTCTATTTATTAAAGATATTTCCACTTTTTCATTCTATCATTAGTTGAGTGTTCTTTATTATCAATACTAAAAATTTCATACCAAAGGGACTTTAGCATAGTAATTTATGAGTCTTTGTTCTCCTACGTTGTCAAAATGAGGAGAATGTGTGAGTTTATTTGTTCTATTTGTTATATATAAATATTTTATACTTCAAAAAAATTAGTAAAAATTCATTTAGTTATTTAAAAAATGTAATAATTACATATTCTGAAAATTGTTTCATTTTCATAATGGATTATTGTTAAAGCTATTACATTTCTAAGTACAAGACTGGTCATATATTCCCCCATTGATTGCTGATTGAGCCAAATGTTTTCTCACATTAATATTTTTTAAAGTGGATTCTGTATGAAACGAGTTCTCCCATTAATTGCCGATTGAGCCAAATTGGTCCCTCACGTTGATATTTTTGAAAGCGGTTTTTGTATGAAACGAGATAATCAACTTTTTATCCAAAATTCCGAATAATTAATTATTGTTAATAGATTTAAAAGAAATTAAAAAAAGGACAAAGGAGATAATATTTTCATCTCAATCTCCGTGAATTTCTTGAAAAGACAAGATATCTGGTACTGGTCAACCGACACGTGTCAGTTTCTTCAGGTTATCTGTTTTTATCCTCTTTTTTTGTCATTTTGGTCACCCGCTTATTCGCATGAAAGCTCTCACTCCCCACCATCCCTTCTCTCTCTCTCTCTCTCTCTCTCTCTCTCTCTCTCTCTCTCTCCCTCCGATTACTGATTCTTCGATCGACGGAAGGCTATTGATTCTCGCCGGCGAACTACCGCTCTTTCGAAAATGGCTGCTACTTGTTCAGCGGACGGTGGTGGATGATAGCTTTATTATGGTAAGAATCGTTTCGATATGGTATTGCTAGATCGTTTTCACATTCCATCGGGAATCTAGTTTCGCAGGAAGGTTAAAAACTCTCGTTGAAACCTATTGTATAAGGCGTGATTTCAATTATGTTGTATGTTTTCGTTTCAGTAATACGATGATGAGATCAATCGCTATTTTACGATTCTAGATTTACGAGCTTAGGTTTACGTGTCTGTTCATTAATCGGTGAAAGGAATTAGAGAGAGGTTTTTGTGTTTTTTGTACAGTTTTTGATTAATGTATAGTTGTAGCATAGACCTTTGAATAGTAGAGTTTTGTTTAAGGATCATTTAAAGTGGGGGAAATGAATTTGAGTACCGTCGAGGAAGAATCTTCGGATCAAAATGTTCATACACCGACCGAAATCGATTGGCATATGCTCGATAAATCGAAGTTTTTCTTCCTCGGCGCCGGGCTTTTCTCATGTGTATCGGCCACACTTTACCCTGTCGTCGTATTGAAAACCAGACAGCAAGTTTCATCCTCTCATTTGTCATCTCTTAGGACTGCGTTTTCCATTCTTAGGTATGAAGGTCTCCGAGGCCTTTACAGAGGCTTCGGAACTTCATTGATCGGAACAATTCCAGCTCGAGCGCTGTACATGACAGCATTGGAGGTTACAAAGAGTAATGTCGGCTCGACTACTGTTAGGTTAGGGTTTCCAGAGCCTACTGCATCTGCCATTGCCAACGCCATGGCTGGACTAAGCGCTGCATTGGCAGCACAGCTTGTTTGGACGCCTGTTGATGTGGTGAGCCAAAGGCTTATGGTCCAAGGAAATGACTACAGCAATTCGAAAATCTCGAGTTCATTGAAATCCTGTAAGTATATGAACGGGATTGATGCTTTTCGGAAAATTCTTAACACGGATGGGCCAAGAGGTCTTTACAGAGGTTTTGGTATATCGATAATGACATATGCACCATCAAATGCAGTTTGGTGGGCCTCATACTCTGTAACTCAAAGACTTGTTTGGGATGGAATTGGATCATATATGTGTAAGAAAGACGATGAGAACAATGAGAATGGTGGTGTGGTTGCTCTTAGACCTGATTCGAGAACTGTAATGGCCGTTCAAGGTGTTAGTGCAGCCATGGCAGGGGGTGTTTCAGCTTTAGTTACAATGCCTTTGGATACGATCAAGACAAGATTACAGGTTCTTGATTGCAGCGACGACAACAACAACAATAATGGGAGAAAAGGGCCAACTGTTGGTCAAACTGTGAGGAATTTAGTGAAGGAGGGTGGATGGATGGCTTTCTATAGGGGATTAGGTCCGCGGTGGGCTTCCATGTCTCTATCTGCGACCACCATGATCACAACTTACGAGCTTCTCAAGCGACTCTCGACTAAGAATCAAGAAAACTTGATACGATGAACACTGGTTGGCATTGGAAAGAAGGGACACTGGAGAAGAAAACCAAGGTAACTAACTATCTGGGTCCTAGGAGATCTCACTATCCTGTAATTCATTTTGTCTATTATGTTCTTGATTTGTTGTTAGTTACATGTTTATATGGTTACAGGATTAGTATGAGATTCTCCATCTTTTGTTCATATCTAATACCATTAAAGAACTATGTTTCTTTAATGTGTCTTTCCACTATATCTATAATCATCTGTATAACATCATAATATATAAGGGTTCAGATTCAGGTGAAAATTATAAAAAAATAAAAAACTAAGGAACACCATGATAACCATTCATCTGGATGATATACACTTGTACATAGATATAATATGTAAGCAATTCGGTAGATCTTGGATCTTTATGAATGGGAGTAGTAGATAATGGATTAGGATTTGGGATTCTAGTGATATTATAATTTGGTTGGTAGGGATTATAACATCCATTGAGGGATTGCTTCTGTTTTTATTCATGGCAATTATTAGATTACATTATCCATGAGCAGATGTTGATGGGTGGAAGAAAATTAGGGACAATTTTGTAACTTTCTTGGAATTTTTGTACCCTAACAACTAGTTTGGTGGGAGTACCTACTAATGGGGAAGGGGAAGGGGATCTTTTTAAGTTATTGTATATTACAAGTGGGTATATATTTTGTATATTGCAAGTGGATAGCCATGAATCCTGGATTTTCCAGTATTCATATCTTGCTGATTCAGATTGTGGACCAAATTTATTATTCCCTGTCACAAAATAATTTTTGTGTTTTGGGATAAAAATTGGAAAAAATACAAATTGCATGAAAAAGTAACGTCTTTTAACTTGATTCTTATTTTAGTTGTAATATTTATACATTCTTAAAACTATTTGTCTTTTTTATTATGAACACATATTTTAGAAGAAAAAAATTTACCTGCTAATTCCATGTTTTGGTGCATGTTTAGGATTAGGGAGGTTTAGAATGGAATTCTCGGTTACAGTAATTAATTTTTCGTTAAAAATGGTAGTTATTTTGATCAAATGTATAAAAAAGTAGAAATTACTTTGAAATAATCAAAGGGTTTTCGACAAATTACAAAAATTTGGATCCAAAAAATTGCATGAAATCATAGTGGGAATATTTTTATTAACGATCATTAAATTTTGCAAAATGTAGGGGCTTTTTATGGTTTGATTGAAAAAATAAATCATAACAAGTTATTCTATAAGATGGTCCAGACATCTATGATTATAAAACAAATTTAATTAATGTTTCCTTCGTCTTAAAATTAATGTCTATATTATTATTTTAGTTTGTTCGAAATAAGAATTGTCCACTTTTAGAAATAAAAGACTACTTTCCAATTCTACATTTCAACTCATAATTTCTCTATAATCGAAGGTAAAATTGTTTTTTCATCAATCAAAAACTTTAATAATTACAAATTCCAAAAACTATATGCATTTATTACTGTAGACTTGAGACCAATGGAATAATAAATAAGTCGATGCCAATAATAGTTATTAATGATCTAGTAACAAACGTGGGTAATAATAACAGCATAAGATGGTGGTTTTACAGTTTCAGACATTTTAAGCTCCACATTTTCTCGTACAATTAAACGAAATCGATTCCATAAAAGCTAACTCACATTTCGCTTCATATCGTTGCACTCATCCAGGATCGATTACGAAGCTTAACGAAATCGCAAGAAGAAGACTTAAAATTAAGGTGTTAACGAAAGATGACTTTTTTCTCAACAATTGAAGAATTCTTACGTGGGATGCATAAGTTTGAAAAGGAAATACGTGCCCATGTTACTGACCAAATTATACAGCAACTGACATCTGCTGAGCAAAATAGAAGGCATCCAACAAAGGGCTAAAAAAACCCATCATCACTAAACCCGACCGACAGTTAGAAAATCGTAGTAGTAGTAGTAGTATCAGAGTTAAAGACGGCATGATACATCTACAAGAACGAGAATGAGAATGAGAAGATCAAGGACGAGCTCGTTTGTTGCTGCAGGAAGGGCATTTGTACTGCTTGATGTGTTCGGCTCTGGCTGGAGTGATCTTCACGCACTTACCGTGAAACCATTTCTCACAAATATCGCAGCATATCCAGAACTCGTCTGATGCGTAATTCTCCCCGCACGCCCCACACAAGGTTTCGCCATGCTCGTCGTCATCTTCATCCTCCAATCCATCTTCATCGTCTTTCAGTGATGGTTGTTGGGGTGGTGGTGGTGGTGGTTGCTGCTTCGGATACTTGCCCTGAGATTCTGGTTCTCGCTGCTCGGTGAACCAAGAAAATAAAGAAAATTACGAGTTGCAGTGACGGATCGCGACATGCAACACTTTAAATTAAGAGCATCTCCAATTGAGGTTCTTATAAGAATCCAACTTTTTTCACTCCTGTAATTTGTATACTTGCCAAAAAGCTCCGTTGTGGATGATCTAAAGGAACGCACAATTTGGTCTTTTTAATTGGAGATTTTTCCAAAAAGGTGGGACCCATAAGCAAAGAAACAAGTTCTGTGAGAGCTTGAAAGTTAAAACTGCACAAGCAAAAGGAGGGAGAGGGGGGTTGCCGGGAGTTTTTTCACAAGGCTTAGACAGCCAAAAAGCTCCATTTTAGATGTTCTAAGAACAAGCACAATGGTTCGACTCTTTGATTGGAGATTTTTCCAAAAAAGTGGGACCCACAAGCAAAAAAAAAACTTTTCGAGAGCTTGAAGCCGCACAAGGAGGGGGCCCTGGGAGGAGGGGGGGTTGCTGGGAGCTTCTTCACAAGTGTAGGCGACCAAAAAGCTCCATTGTTGTGGATGGTCTAAGGACACGCACAACGGTTGGACTTTTTTATCAGAGATTTTTTCAAAAACGTGAGACGCACAAGCAAAAAAACAAGTTTTTTGAGAGCTTGTAACTGCACAAGCAGGGGGGGGGGGGGGTTGTCTAGAGTTCTTTCACAAGCTTAGGTGGCCAAAAAAGCTCCATTGTAGATCAGCCTTGGACCTAAATTGCATAGGGCCACAGTAAAGAAAACTTCTAACAATGAACTTGGGGCACCAAGCCTTCTCCATTTTGCAATGGTGGGGGATTAACATATTCGTATGCAATTATGCCTTGTAATTAAGATGTTCTTCTCATGTCAACCTGTGATCTTTTGGTCACAATTAGAGATGGCCAAAAACAGGTCTCGGTGCGACATTTTTCTTTTTTAACAGGTCCCAACCAAAAACACACGGCCCGTTCTTCATATACAGACCCCGGTCCCTAGAACCGGTCCCAGCCCCAGGTCAGTCCCAAATTTTGTTCCCAAAAATCAATTTTAAACATATAAGATCTTGTTTGAAGATTTTCTTCTTTTTTTTGTATAATATCTTATTGAAATACACTTTAAAATCTCTAATTGGGTCCTTCAAGTACACTTTAAATCTTTTTTTTAATTTTTTTTTCACTCAAAAATGTTATAAATGTTTCTATAATTACGATTTCTGAAATTTAGTATCGGAAAACTTAAAAAAACTTAACAACTTCAATAAGAACTATAAAAACTTAAAATAACACTTGAAGTTTTTGGTAGAACACTTGAAAATCTTGTAGAAATCTTGAAAAACAATACATAATTTATAAAAAACTCAATATTTTTTAAAATCGGTCTTATGTATAACCGGTCCCGGTCTTGTAACCAGTCTCGGGTCAGGCCTTGAATTTTCATAAATAACATAACCGGCCTTTAACAGGCCCATTTTGGCCATCTCTAGTCGTAATAAAGTAACCTTACCCCATAATTCTCAGGCTCACTTGTTTTATAGGACAACTAGAGAATTTATAGTATTAAGCACAAAGAAAAAGTTGTGCATTGAAATCCCTTTACCACTTTCGAGTTCGACTTGGATTTGGTGCTACTATGATTAGAGACTGCGGTCTTTTCCTTCTGGGCTTTCTTTGCAGTACCGCTTACAACCTCAAAAATCGTTGGGAGATCATTTATCATGTTGAATAGTCTCTTCCTGCATCATCGAGGAAAAAAACGAATTTCAATATACATGGTATACGGCACTTTCAGCAAAGATAGAAAAAAATGATACAACTTTTAACGTATTACAAGAACAAAACATGAGATAAACATCAGAAATGGCCTTTTCTCCACTTGATTCCTACCAGAAGACCTACACTAAGGGGCCGTTTACTAAATGCTTAATGGGTAAGCGCTTACCGATATCACTTACCTTACCAATTGAGCATGACAAGCATCAAGAATCTTACCCGGTAAGAGGCATAATAAGGATCAAGAGTCTTACCCGGTAAGTGAGGAAAACGACTCTTAACCGGTAAGCGCTTACAGGGTAAAAAATATTCTATGAAAGCAAGAGATGGAAAGTACTCCGAAGGTGTCGACCACACGCCCTAGCATAGCCTTTCCCGCAGGTTCGGTCGCCCTAAGCCAACCAGAACGGCAAAGAAGAGTTCTCTTCGACTAACATACTTACCAACAATCCATTTTGATGGTTGACAATGTTACATGATATGGTAAGTAAGGGTAATTTCTCTTGCTAGTAAGCACTTAGCCGGTAAACATTAGGTGAATGGCCCCTAAAACCATTGTGCATGAAGTAGCGGACAGGATAGTAAAGACACGGCTTCAAGGATTAAGAACAGAAGGTGATTATGTTGTCAACACGTAAGTTCTTTGATATTGTAACACAAACACAGTAGAAGAATTTAACAAAGCATGTATGAAGTTCCTCTCTTGTTAGACTCTATTGAAAGATGAAAAGAAAGGAATCTGGGGAATGAAGGAAGAAATAGCCCCATTGTTACCATGTTTATATTGTATACATATATTTAGACAAGTCGATAAACAGTTAATAAACACAAAGAACTCCCAGACACCTGATAAAATGCATGTGAAAATGAAGTGGGTACATTAAACAGAAATGGAACAATGTCCCAGATGTGCTAGCTGTTCTACGCTGATAACGAATTCCATTAGCAATTGCAAGACAGAGTGTACACATCACAAGATAAATATATATACTTCAAAATTGTTGTGGGTACCGGTCCCACAACCATCAGAGGTAATTGCGGTGGCAGGGTGGGTGGGGCCAGATTTAAACTCGAGACCTTGTTGTGGAAGCTTCACCCCCTTTCCGCTGGGAGAATTCAGTAGGATTAAGCTTCCAAATTGTTACTAACTAGAATACTAGACCGACCATGATTAATGTGAAACCTAAGCACGAGAAGCCATCAAGCCATGCCCCAAGGGAATATCAACTTTAACAATAAACATACACACATGCATCTGGGACTACTGGTTCTTGTGCTGATTAGTCATATTTGGTGAATATCAATTAACGGAATGTAATGCACAATGAAACTCTGTTACATCTTACTCATAAACTTTTAATTTATGGGTCTATCTTCCTTGGACAGTGCCACTTCTGACTAGAATTTTCCTTACTGTCAACGAACCTAGCAAGTATATGCAACATCCTATTTGAACCGAAGTATATTTCTCTCCATTCCATAATTCTATTTATGGATGTCAAACCTAGTATTTGTCAACTTCTAAGACAATATGACATAATCTAACCATTTGTTTCTTAAATTGAAGTGCTTCTTGTGTGGTTAAATGGATATCGCAGTAACGACTTTAAGTAAGATCAAACAATTTGTATCAAGTTTTGAAGTTATCATCATTAATGTTGCAATTTCCAAGCTACAAATCGTAGGGTAGTTATCACTATTGCCAATCAAATCAGCCCAACATACCTACACCCATGTTGAAATACGTACTCTGAAAGGGCACCCCATACTTATTGCATAAAAATGGAACTTTTAGATAATGTCCAATATTATGTGAAAATAGTAACTTAAAAAGACAAGTAAAGTAGACGGTCTGAAATTTTGATCATAAACGGAGATGTTAAGCCCCCTTTTGCCTTAGAATATAATCAATGTTAAAAACATTTACCTATCAGCCTTATCAAACCCAAATCTCGCACCAAAATAGAATGCAACAGAAAGCAACCAAGCATCACTATGGACAGCAACCAAAGATAACCAGTCCTTTTCTTGCATCCCATCTCTAGCAAAGTTAATGCCCAGTGCTGGTTCTGGGAGTTCTGGGGGCACCTCTTCAGCAGGCAAATTGACCTCCCATTGCTCACTAGGAAACCCATACAAACACAAATTCTCCTTTTCTGTACAGACAAAGTGCACAATATTCACATGAAAAAGACAAGTCAATAATAAAAATAGTAAGGCATCATGGATAAGATTGAGAAACCAATGTTAGTCTCTTTCTAGAAATAATTCTCATTAAATTTACCCATATGCATGCATCTGTTCAACAGCATAATGCTTAAAAAGAGTTCTTAAACATGGTTAAATGTCAACCATGAGCACTTCATAGGCTAAGTTGTTGTTTATTACCATACTGAGCAGCAGGATCAACTTGACATCAAGTACTAATATCAGAGAGAGATGAAGATGAACCAACTTTCTTTCTTGAACAGTGGTGAGTGAAATTTATTTAGGGCTTGTCTGTTCATACTTCCTAAGAATTCTAAATTCGTCCTTTACACATGTGAACATTCAATTGACAATCATCACCATATTAATACAATACTATGTTAAGACTAGATGCTGTGTGCATGCTCCCTGCTCCAAGGGTTGCAACTGAGGCATATTACCAGTTCTTTGTGTTGCATGCATGGAAGTAGCGTAAAAGAATAAATGGTAGCTGCACGATAATTCTTCGGAGGACACTTCCTTTGAGAAAAATATACAAATCAAATTTCTCCGATCATATAATTTCAGTTCTAAATATTTTGCAATAACACTAATTATTGCATCAAACTTTAAAGCAAGTAACATTTGTAACAGAATACATATTAATTATGCATTTAGGAAGTTGTAGATATGAAATCAAAAGGTGTAAACTGGATACACTTTTCTTGGACGGTAGGATTATGATAGTTGAAAAGGAAGCTTAAACAAATGTAAAAATGTCTATCCAATGTGGCCATTACATGAGAAAACAAATACAGAGGAACGAGAAAAACATGTCATCCAGCTACACAAATAAAGTGACAACTGAATATAGTGCCATATGCACATGTATTTCCAGCGAAAAGCATGTCATCATAAAAGGCATGCTTGCAGAATCAAGGACATCATTCCCAAGCACCTTATTAAGACAAATGTCAGTGGCAATGCTATACACACAGGATAGGGTTCAAAGGAATGTCAATACAGTACTAAAATATTTGCTGTAACACACGTAAACAATCCCTCGTTTCCGTTGGACAGTGAAATAAGATGTAAAAAGAAGAGAAGGCCTTGACTTTTTCAGGATACATAGTATATTGTCCAACTTGCAATTAGTATTGATATAAATTAAGACATAAACGCATACAAAGTCAAAAGAACACATGACGTGGAGACATGTTGTTCGGTGTGTAGTTTATTCACTCATCACACAAAAACACCATAATGTGATTCTTGGAAGCAAAAGGCTTGTAGCCACCAAATTTTCATGCAGAGAACTAAACGAGTTCAAACCGTAAGTAGCTTAAACATTAACTTCAACAGAAATTCTGATTTATGCATGCCTTGCATATACACATGTAAGGTACAAATATTATCTGAGATGAGGAGAAAATTACTTCAGTGGTCATGATGGCTACTTATGAGAATACTGTTAACATAACTTTGTGGCGTGCTAGCCACTAAGTGATGCAAAGCTTTCGACAAACTGTATTTTCTAATGCATAATATGATTTCTTAAAAAGACGGACCAAAAGAAACTAGATGCTTTTCAAGAGAGAATTGCAACCACTCAAAGCAGTCAATGTAGATTAGGGTCCAATCGCATTTCCAATTAAAGTAACATAGTGATAATTACACCCCCCGTTAAGGATAATACAGAAAGACTCAAAACTTAGGAAGTAATCCATATCTGCTAACGTATATAAGGAAGTATCTGGCAGTTAGGTTAGGTTAGGTACAGCATATTAGGCTAGCAATCTCGATTTAGAAATTTTCAGGAATCCAGAAGTGACCTAGAAGAAGAAAATCATATAGCTCTATAGAACTGCGTCATTAATCCATTGACCAAACTTCCTTTACATAATATTAGCAAATATAAACCACAGAATCACAAATTGAGCAAATACGTATATAATACCCATAATTAACTACGTATAATGTTCCTCCGTTTAAGAACAAGTATTTTCCACGAAGGTTCGACATCATTTACAGTTATAAATAACGATGTTGTAGTAGACACTACACAGTGCAAAATATAACCATATATGGATAAGATACCCCGTTTTGCGGATGCAGCAATGATGCTTTTTAGTATAATTAACACTCTATAATTCTATTTTTTTCCCAATTTTAGCTTAGTGCATGAAATCGACATGCAGAAAAAAGGATTAATTAAAGCAAAGAGAGTCGCAAGGAAAAAGATACAGAACCCTAACCAGGATCACACTGCTGATAAAATTCTTCAACCTCTGCAACAATTAGTACAGAATTTGAGATCATCGCAAGTAAAAACCAGTAAGAAACAAGAAGAAGAAAATAAAAAGTGAAAGCGGAAGAAAAAGACAAAATATAATCTCACCGGAGGTAAGAGCTTTGATCATGCCGGCACGACGACCTTTGAAATCCCTAAAAACCTCTTCAACTGTGCGAGGATTATACTGCGTTGCTCCACCGTCCATCTTTTGTGCTTCAAAAAAACCCGAAGATTGCTGAAAAAATGGAAATGTAGAAATCGAGGAGATGATTCTTCGGTGAAAGTAGTAGCGAATTACAGAGAAAAGCAGTAGCAGAGTAGCAGTTTAAACGAGCTACGACTTCCCCTTTGGTAGTAGTTTCATTCAGAGAATGAAAAGCAACATGTACGAAGGGGAGAGAGAAAGAGAGAGATGAAGGAAGGAAGGAAGGAAGGGCGGATTTGAATCTAATGATAAAAGAGGGGTTTAACTATATTTGATTTATGGGTGATGAGTCCGAGAAAACAAAATCCCCAATTTTGGAACTTCTCCCTCCTTTTAATTGGTGCCCTAATTTTAGACCAACCTCTAAACCCCTAACATATATATATATATATATATATATATATATAGTGTTTGTTTCAAATATTTTGTTTCAAATATAAACCATCACATTTATATAATCAATGCAACCCAATAAATTGAGATATTTATGAAAATGATAAGAGTTTATTTATTATTATTTAAATATTTATGTAAGATGAATATAGTTCATTAATTATGATCAATACTTTATATTATGAAACAATCAAAACTTCTAAAAAATTACATATTAATCAAATGAAATAGACCGTTGAGATTAGATTATATTGGTTGCACAAATGTCAAATGTTGTATAATAACCAACCTTCTCTCTCTCTCTCTCTCTCTCTCTCTCTCTCTCTCTCTCTCTCTCTCTATATATATATACACACACATAGATCATAGAGGTGAGTTATTATACAACATTTTACATTTGTACAACTAATACAATTCAATTTCAATCGTCCATTTAATTTGATGAATATGTGATTTCATAAAAGTTTTGATTGTTTTCTAATATAAAGTACTAATCATAATTAATAAATTTTAATCATCTTTCATAAATATTCAAATCATAATAAATGAACTTTCATTATTTCCATAAATATCTCAATTGATTGGGTTGCGTTGGTTATACAAATATGATGGGTCGAGATTAATTGTATTGGTTGTACAAATGTAAATTGTTATATAATAACTCACCTTTATATATATGACTTTTTAAATGCAATTCATCATATTTGTACAACTAATACAACATAATCAATTGAGATATTTATGAAAATAATTAAAGTTCATTTATTATGATTTGAATATTTATAGAACATTACTAGAATTTTTATGGTTTAATATTTATGGAAGTACCTTAGATTTTTTTTCTTCTTAAAGTTGTTTACGTTGTCTTGACAATATATTTTGTGTGCACATTTTATTTGCATGTTTATGTTACGGAGAGATAAGAGAGAGAAAGAGATATGTATGGAATTTTCTAAAATCAATGGTTTATGATGGATTACACAAATCTTACAAAATTTTAAGTTTTGAAATGATTAAGCCCCTTAATTATATTATACCACAAGAGTAATCGTGCAATGCATCGAGATACATTTTAATTTCAATGTTTGATTTTATTTTTTGTCACTATCGATGTTATAATACAGTTTTATATGGTATTGAGAAAGCAATAATATTATTTTTTTAATTTAAAGATATCATAAAACTTAAAAAAAAAATATCGTATCAAATTAACTATTTAAAAGTTATCTTTTTTTTGTGTAATTCTTTTAATTCAAATTTTTTATTATAACTTAATTTAGATTTGACAAAGAAATAACTTATTTTTGGTTTAATAATATAACTTTTTATAAAGATTATACTTAAATATATTATTAGAATGATTATCCTAATTATATTTTAGATTTTTTTATATCTAAAATAAAATGTTTATCTTGTTACGATTATGGGTATTTATTGTTAATTACACAAATTCAAACATGGAGTTTTAATAAATTATAGTTATGTACAATTTACTTGTAAACTTCAATTTTTAATAATATGCATACATAAAAAAATGATTTTTAAAATTTTTTGTTAATATTTTATAATATAGTATGGATTATAAAATATTTAGATTTTAATGAATATAATTGTTAAAACATTATGAACAAATCAATAATATATACACCTTACAATTTTATTGGTGGAAAATATATTAAAATATTATAATATTATTCTAATTATATAATAATTAACGTCAAAAATAGAGAAAATGAAAAAATCGAATATAACTTTTCTACAAATTTTGATTCTAGGCCAAATTGCATGAAAAAATAACACACTTTAACTTGATTCCTACTTTAGATAACGTACTTTCAAAACTTCATTTTTGGTACCTAAAATGTAAAGTTTTAAATATTTAAGTACTCAGATAACCGGTTAAAGCATTAACTGATTACCATGCTGATGTGAAGAGTGATGTGGTATCCAGCTAACTCAGTATTATTTGCTGAAGCATTAGCCGGATACCACATCAACATGGTAACCAATTAATGCTTCAACCGGTTACCAGATAATTAAATGTTTAAAACTTAACATCTTAAGTACCAAAATGAAAGTTTTAAAAGTACGTTACCTAAAATATGAATCTTATAGTACAAAAGGTAAAAAAACACCTACCAAGTTAAAAAAATATCCCTGAATAATTTCATATCTTTAACACAGAAAGAAAGAAAAAGGTTGCAAATTAAAACATACCTAAATAAATTTTATCCCAACTCACAAACTTCAAACCTATTGGTACAAAACAACATTAAAAAATGGCATAAAAAAACTACTCTCTAAAACTTCTGAATCCCCAAAGGTCAATAAAGGGTAGGGATTCCCTTTTAGAAGATGATGGATTGATTTCACTTAATGACTGCTGGATTCTTCAAACCAAAAACCATTCCAGACAATCCTGTGAATATGCTAAAAATCTTGTGAATAGACAAAGGTAGAGGACCTGTGAATATGCTAACAGTCTTGTGAATAGACAAAGGCAGAGGACCTGTGAATATGCTAAAATTCTCTTCCCTTGTAAGGCATTTCCTGTCACCACAAATATCAAATATCAAGAAGAGCTTCACTCAAAGTGCTATGAATAAAATGAGAAAGCGAACGGAAGGGGGTGATTTTGTCTTCCTTGAAGATTTACTCGTCAAACCAAAAAGAGCGGTATCTATATTATGAATATATCCTAGCCTCCCTGGAGGTCAAGGGTTCAAGCTTTACTGGAGGTAGAGGAATGTATGTGAGCATTTACCGTGTATAAATATTATAGAACTCGTCAACTATTTGGATTATTGGCCCAACAGTATCCGAGTTACCGCGCTTATATACTCATCAATGGTATCCGGGTTACCAGTAGCTCGATCAAGGGTTCAACCCTCACCGGTACATAAATGCGAGTGAGTATTAGGGTCTGGACGTCTGGTTCAAGGAAAACCACAAAAATTGAAAAACTGAAGAACACCTTGTTAACCATTCATCTGGACTATATACACATATGCATACAAGTAATTTATAAGCAAACAGCTTCAATTACTTGTATTCCCATGTGTATATCGTATAGATGAATTGTTACCAGGGTGTTCATCAATTTTTCATTTTTTGGGGGTTTTTCCCCTGAACCTCCCTCTGTGTGTGTGTGTGTGTGTGTGTGTATATATATATATATATATTCAGGTACCTTGTACCATACCTCTTGTAATAATTGGGGTCTTTAAATCCCGTTTAGGGTGCCCTTGGTACACGGACAGACGGGCGAGAGTAAGGTAGGCGGATGAAAGATTGTGAAAGGTTTTAAGGTTTCAATTTGACACAGGTGGTGCAAATTTTTGCTCCAACTAATTTGGTGGATAAAAAAATGCATTTTAGTCCCACTCAAGTCCTGTCCTGTCCCGGTCCAGTATCGCGCAAAACGTAGGACAATAATTTTTTGTACCGTCCCATCCCGCATACCAAACGCACCCTTATAAAACCACACTTGCATCATACAAAAGGCCTCTCCATGTGAGCCACGCTATTTATTTGGTAACGTGATCCGAAAAAGAAGGCGAGGTCGAAAAGTCCTCGTGCATTTCAAGAACTCACTTTGAACTCGAGACAGTATGAAGAGAATAGAAGAGGAAAGCTCAACTTTCTTACCGGAGGATAAGTGGGCATGTACACCATCTGCCGAGGTTGACCAAGAAGCATTTGCTGTCCATACTGAGTGAATCATAGTCTCAAATTAATTTCCACAAGAGAAACTCAATGGGTTTTGAAACGAATGACTTGAGAACCAAATGGCATACCTGTGGGGCGTTCGAGTGGAAATAGGCTTGCTGTGATTGAAATGACGTTGTCTGGGGACCATACATAGCTGGCTGGTGTGGGGAAAATGAGGTTCCCATCTGCAAAAACAATTTAAATTGAAGATCAAGAATAAACCTCCTAATTCAAAATTCATTTTCCAAGTTTATATTACATCCATGGTTTTCAAAATCGTTTCGAGTCAAGACGGCCCAAAACCGCACCTGAGGCGGCCTCTTGGACCCTGGACGAGGCGTACGCCTCAAATGATCTGCTTTGGTAAAGGTTTTTTGGCTTTTTTACAAGTTTTATGGCAGTAGTAGTACTTCTTTTTATAGTATAAGCGTCTTTTTTTATTTTGGAGAATAAAGTCAAAACCCAATGGCACCAATGTGTACTTTTAATATTTTAAAATCCAAAAAGCTAGTACTTCTTCCTCTCAATCAAAAAGTGTGGTTTGACCCTTCCTCTTCCTCCAAGCAACCGCCTTTTCCACACCCTCTCAGCCTATCTCACGGTTTCACTCTTTTCCTCTGTCAAGAACCAACGCCCTTAGTAATTTAGTACTACATATACATATTTTGGTGTACATATATTTCTGTCTCGGGGCTTACGCCTCGCCTTGTTGAGGGAAAACGCCTCGGGGCCCGATTCCACCCTTCAAAACCTTGATTACGTCACAAAAAGAAGGAATCATGTGGCATTAGAAGACTACACCTGTTCCAAATAGGTTTCAGCCATATTCTCCGGAAAAATTTGCTAATTTTGTGAAGCATTATAAAATGCTTTTCTACTAGAAATATATTTCTTTGATAACAAAATTGACCTCGGGAAGCATGAATCTAGATTATACTTCCATCTGGCCTCCTTTTTACATTCAACCTTTTCCAACTAGACTGTTTGTTGATTTTCCATCAAGTCTTGTATGGATAAAGTTGTTCGTGTAGATTAATTTGTCCATACAGATGGAGCGGGTTTTTTCATAGATGGATGGAGAGGGTCTTTTAATTGGAACGGGCAGGTTTGGAAAAAAGCTTGTCTTTTAGCATAAAACTCCCCCTAAAAGCTGACCGAATAAGCTGTGAGTCCCAATAAGCTCATTAAGCTACTAACAAATAGGCCCTAATTTTACCTAAAACGACAATCATTTTCTACAATATAGTTTAAACCAGTAATGAATTATCAAATATCACACAACAAGGTTCTCTGAATACTTGCTAAGCAGCAATTGCTCTAGTTTCATCACTAGGTGTTTTTATTACCAAACCAAACGAGCCCAGTATATCCCACCCGAAGGTGGGCCGGGGAGGTTGGGATGTACGCAGACCTGACCTCTATCCTAAAGAGTAAAAGGGTTGTTTCCATCAAGACCCGTGGCTTGTGAAAAGATGTTCTAATTATGAAAGGCATGTCATCTAGCCCCCATCCCTAGGTGGTTTGTATTATCTAAAGGCCATGTAGAAGGCTCCCCACGCTTTATCTATATCAAGTCTCATGGATGGGGCATTTACTTCGTTTAGTGATCCATTGCCCCTCACCCCCTCCAGTACAGAATCTTCAATCTGGGGGAAGAACATGAAATTTATATGACAATCATGAACTCACAAGGGATTCAATACAAAAATATCCCTCAAGTCCCATTTATACAGTTGTGACTTTATCCTTGTTAGTGCTGTCTATAATGATAGATGAATCAAAAAAATTCAATTGGACTAAACTACCTTATCAAATTCACATTTTACCTGATCCTCAAGTTTCTAGCCCTAAACTCATAATGGCGAGAAATATATTATTTTAAATTAAATAATTTTCTATTGAATGGGACATTCTGCATCTTCATTTCACTTGTTGAGAAATAGCCTACATTGCCGCATATCTTCATATTTTTATTCTAATATAAACTTTACTTATGAGGTTCGAGGACTCGAGGATCCTCACCCGTGCCCCTGGGCTAGCACATTCTTATTTGTTGTGCTTTTGGATAAATTTGTACCCGAGGTATCCAAGGGAATGTCCTCCGGCGTATGTTATTCGATGACGACATTGTGTTGGTAACAAAATCGAATGTAGAGAAAAAGGAGAGATTGGAGCAATGGATGGAGGTATTGAAGACACAAGGCTTGTGCATTAGCCACTCTAAGACCTAATACCTATAGTGCAATTTCAGCAATAAGCGAATTAACGAGTAAAAAGTCAACTTTTAGGAGGCAAAAAAACCCAAAAGCACAGAGTTTCAAATATTTAGGCCTCATGATTCAAATAAGAGGTCGAGAATAACATAACACATCGCACAAAGACAAGATGGTTACAGTGCAGGGTTGCCACGGAAGTGTTGTGTGACAAGGTCCCATTGAAACCAAGGGGGAGTTTGGTTTGCATATTGGAATTTGGTGGAATTGGAATCCATCAAAGGAATTTGAACTTGAAGTAATTGAAATGGAATTTGAAAGAATTTAAGGGTAAATTGTGCAGGATAGCCATCAAACCAGCTATATTGCATGGGTCTAAGTGTTCGATAATAAGCAAGTCCCTTAAAACTCAAAAGGAAGTTGAAAGTTGTATAAATGAGAATGTTCAGATGTAATTGTGGTCGAACCATGTTGGACAGAATATCAATCGAGCTTTTTCTGGCAAAGTTGGGAGTTGGGCCTATCAAGGATAAATTGAGATAAGGAGACCGATGGTTCGAACACATTCGAGTACATCCCACCACCAACCCTATTCCCGAATGGGATATATTGGATTGGTTTGGTTTCTATGCAGAAAATCGAACAAAAGGAGGCTGATTCCAACAGCTCCAGTTATACAGAAACAATCCCTACTTCTCTGAACCGAATAATATTACCATTTAACATCATTCAAAATGCTCTAAGACACAGAATATAGGCAAATTTTTTAAAGCATCAAGAATAACTTACTCCAATGCCAACAGGCACGCCTTGCATATGTGAGACTGGAGCTACATTAGTTGGGTAGTAAAAGGAACCATCCGATACCGGAGATGCAGGCCTTAAAGGTGTCTGCAAAGGAACAAAGCTCTTCGCATTTGGGTTGAGTCTGAATTCCTGAAAACATCAAAACGAACAAAATGGTTAAGCAACTGCAACAATTTATGACAACAAAACATCATTTCCATCATCATTTTCCCACTATTTCTAGTAGAACTTGCAGCATCCGCAAGAGTAATACTACAAGTATTAGTTTTCCATGTTTTCAGGCCCATTCCTGACATTTTATAGGCCCTAGGCAAATGTAAAATCAGGGTCCTTGATAAGTATCAAAAAAATTCAATAAATGTTTTTCTTTAATAAACAAATTGAATACAAGAAATTCTAATGACTCATTGAGGAAAGAAATCTTATTTTTCTTTATTATAGATAAAAGAGTACTTAAACCTACGTACTTCTTATTAAAGTAATTAACAACCAAGAGTTTAAAAACTATGGTTGATATATTTTCATAATAAGAAATATGTGTAATTTTGATACAAAAAGAGAACTTGTGTGGAGGAAGCAATCTTGAGAGTCAATGAGAGATCAATAATAGAGAAGATTATCAAGGTTTTCTAGACAAGTAGACAAATGAGAATAATAAGAATGTGCAAGAAAAGATGATCCACTGAGATCCAATAAGAGTAAATTATGAATGAGACATAATTTGTAAGCTCAATGAATGGTTGTTTGAGCACTTAAATAGAATCTTGCGGTGTGTAGTGGAATCTCAATGGAAGATGTATAAGTCAAACAATTGATGAAAACATTTTAATTTCCTTTTCCTTCTTTTTGTGTTCAACTAAAATAAGATGTTATGATTAAAAGTTTATGGAACATGCCATATATATGAGACGTTAATAAATACATTTAGTAGGAAAAAATTTATGGATTAATCACAAAACCATGAAACATGTCATAACTCATAAAAACAATAGATTTGATCATTAAACAATAGTACAATATATTCTATAAAAGCAAAAGTAGATAACAATAATCAACAAAACCAATTAAAACAACATAACCAAATAGCAATAGTCAATAGAAGCAGAAATAGATGAAAATATCCAACAAAAATATAAAGCAATAGCAAGCACATGAGCTTAACGTTGAATTGTTGAAGCACGAAAACAATCAAGCATACAGAGATAGCAATAGCCAATAGCATTGGACCTTGGTAGGAGATAAAAAAATTAGAGGCGCAATAAATAATAGCATATAACTAATGACGAATTATTTATTTTTTATTTTCTTCACCAATGTAATTAGTTGATATATTTTTAGACCCCTATTATCTACTAAATTCTTTTTACCTCTTATTATATGCTACAATTTTTTGGGTTTCTTTAATTTATTAATATTTTAAGACTAATTCTTTGTATTGAAGAAAAAAAATTGGGCCCTGATATTTTTTATGCTTGGGCATGCAACCGTGCCACCCTCCCCCAGGGACGGCCGTGCATGTTTTCAAGTGGGAGGGGGATTAGTGAAACATCTCAGGCTAACTGCACCAGAAATATTGTCCGCTTTGTCCATACCTAGACTCATGGTTTTAAAACGTGTCTGATAGAGGTATCCAATTCCTCATAAGGCAACCTTTATTCCCCTCCCCAACCGACGTGGGATCTTACAATCCACCCCTCCCCCCCCCCCCCCCCGCGAGAAGCCCAGCATCCTCGCAGGCACACCAGTCCAGGACCTGGCTCTGATACCATTGTAACACCCTGAATCCCATAGCAATTGGCTGGTCCAATAACTTCATATTAAACTTAACGCCATGATGGAAGTCATTGGTAGCCCACAACTTGAGGCTTATAAGGAGCTAATAAATCCCATTTCCTATCCATGTGGAACAAGTTGTTACAATTAGTAATATCGCGTGTACAACAATATGAGAGCAAATATTTAAATTTAACCTTTGCAATGGGATTCAATGTTGATTTTTCAGAACTAAGAGAGCCCATTGACGAGCTAGGGGATAGTCCAGGAGCACTAGCAGTCGGGGCAGCATTTCCACATTCCGAAGTAGATGATGAACTACCAGGTTGTGCACGAGAGATTGCAGGTTGTGTAGCCTCGTGTATCTTGAGAGTGGTTGCACCCTCTGATGCTTCACTAGAACCCGTCGTTTCCGGAGCCTTAGACAAGACATTAGATGGAGCATATGCAGTCGCGTCTGCTGAGAGTCCTTTCTCGGAGCTTTCTTTCTTAAGCCTCAATGACGACTCTATATATGTACATGATTAAATGAATAGGGTGATTTGCATGAAAAGAAACATAGAAGTCCAAAAGTAAAGGTTATATTAAAAAAACCACCATAAACAAACGCACTTAATACATATGACACTTAGTGTGCGTTTGGTACACTGGATAGGACAGGACAGGACAGGGATCAGTGTTCCATGTTTGGCAGGACCACAGGACTTCTATGAGAAACAGGCAAAAACAGAGTGGAACAAAGTGAAACAAGCGTGTTCCACCCCACCTCATGGAACAAGGTGGAACAGACCTATATCTTACCAATATAACCTCAAAATAAAACCTAATTCTTATCTAAAAATTCTGCATCTCTCTTTACATTTTATCCATCCGTCAGATGTTATATATTGTATTTTATGTTCTTTAAATTTCCACTTTACTGTCCTCAAAATATTGTTTCTATACGGTTTCTATATTTTGATTATTTACGTAATTGATAATAAAAAAAATAACATAGAAAAGGTATAAAATAAAAATTGGAAACTATATAAATTTTATTTTGGAGTCATTTTAAGCTTAATGAAAACTTTCTAATGATATATTTTGTTATAAAAACATTTATTTATTATAATTTAATAAATTACATAAATTAATCAAAATGTAATAACAACTCATTCGGGGTAAATTGATCATTTTATCTGTTATATCCTATCCAATTTTGTCTTACCAAACACTGGACAGTTGTTCTGTTCTGTCCATCCTATCTGGACACCAAACGCACCCTTAAGAGAGAGACCAATTATGTATCACGATACATAGCACCATTCAAACTTAGAAGTACAAAATTCATATCAATACAATGACAAACATCCAATTCCACATGTAGAAGCAACCATACGATTAGCAAATGCAAGCTAGGATGCACATACAAATACAAGAACAAAGACAACAACCCTGGATCAGCCAAAAAACAGCCTATTTATCTACTTCAGTTTTTTCAGATCAAGAAGAGAAGAGCGTTCAGATATACATTAGGCATCCTCTCCGGCTCGTGGATGATGGCATTATTGCTACCCATTACCGCACCTAAGATATAACATATGGACTCTTCTTTTTGGGACAGGCAGAATAATAATGGATAAACCTTAACAAACCCAAGTAGAAACTAGAGATGGCCAAAAACCGGTCCCAGTCGGCCCAAATCGGTCCCCGTCCTTGATTTCCTTTTCGTAACCGATCCCGACCAAAAAACCATGTCCCGGTCTTCTTTAACCATAACGGTCCTTAGAACCGGGCCCGGGACAGGCCCAAATCGGTTCAATTTCTTTTTCCAAAACATAATTTTGAACATATATAAAATCTTGTTTGATGATTTTCTTTTGTTTGAATAATATCTTTTTGAAATACACTTTAAAATTCATTCAAATACACTTCAGATATTTTTTTAAAAATCTTAAAAAATGTTGTGCATGTTTCTATAATTACGATTTTTGGAATTTAGTATTCAAACACTTTTAAGAACTTGAAAAACTTCCAAAAGAACTTGGATAACCTAAAATAAACTTGAAGTTTTTGGTAAAAAAGAAAAACTTGAAGATCATGTAGAAATCTTGAAAAACTTGATATATAATTTATAAGAACTTACTTTTTTAAACAAATTTGGGCCTATGTATAACCGCGACCCGGACCGGGGCCGGGCCTCGAATTTTCGTAAAAACCATAACCAGTCGAGCCGATCCCGGTCCCAAACGGTCTGGGGCCGGACCCATTTTGGCCATCTCTAGTAGAAACAATAGCTATCTTACCATCTGAATTCACAAATGACAGAATTTCGGAATGTATTGTTAGTTCCGCCTTTCTAATTAATAAAAGAAGAATAAAGACACTAACCCTCTGATTCTGAAGCCTGGTTTTGCTCAAATAACTGCATTTGTCAAACAGAAGTGTAATAGTTAGAAACGATCTACAAGAAACAGGAGCTAAACGGTATATTGGTATATAGAGTTCCATTGAAAAACTTGGTATGCGGTCAGTAGTGAAGAAGCTTAATATACCATGTGCTTCCCAGTATCCTCCTGACTTCCAGCCTTTTTGTCTTGAATCCTGAGATAACCCATGAGAAACATAAAGAAGTTTGTAAGTAACAATGGTATAAAGTCGTGTTGAGGATAATGGATAAAATCAATCTAAATAGTTTGAAGTGCATGAAATGACGCAATTCAATATATCGACAAGAACCTGTTCTCGCTGTCCAAATAACCAGATGGATAGAAGTCCGTGCTTGAACTCGTTTGAGAAGCGTGACCCTCAACCTGCATGACGTGGAACATCGACAGAGCTTGAAACATTGATACGAGGTAATGCGGCAACCAAACCAAATCAAACGAGCCCAGTATATCCCACCATGAAGTGGGGTCGCCCTGCCCCCGGGGGGAAGATATACATGGGTCTGAACTATACCCCAAAATATAGAGCGGTTCTTTCCGTCAAAACCCGGTTTATGGAAGTGTGTGAAATAGAGAGGCATATAAGAAATTTTTTTGAAAAATAAGTTAACTTGATAACATACAAAATAAAGCAGGTACAAGCAAAACATAAACAAGGTAAGGCAACTACATACCCTTAGGGGCTGTTTGGTTGGTTTCTCATTAAGTCTTGTATGGATAAAGTTTTGTGTAGATTAATCTGTTTGTATAGATTGGGAAGGTTTTTGTTTGGGAGGGATTTTTCATAGATAGGAGAGTGTTTTTTAATTGGGAGGGGCAGGTTTTGAAAAAACTTGCATAAAGCTCTGATGTAGAACAAGCAGCCCTGGAATTTGAAGAAAGAAATGAAAGGACAAGAAAACCATAAGCTCAAGTCCAAGTTTTTTATGTTTTAGTTTTAGTTTCCTTTATTGAGCCAGTTTCCTGTTTCCTATTTTATTTCAAGGATAATTCCCTAGTTTTTTTAGTCCTTTTAGGATTCTTGCTAAGTTTGGGTAGGACTCTAGTCTATAAATAGGGATCATCGTCTTTGTTTATGGACAGAATTTATTGATTACAATTTATAAACATTGATGGATTCCAAGGTATTTTCTTCAATAACACGTTAGTGTGATTAACTCGTTTCCGTGCTGCGTCAAGTGGTATCAGAGCCTACCACGCCTCGTTCGATGGTCAACGAAGCCGTAAGAAACGACCCTGATGAAGCTAGTCGCAGGGAAGCAGCACTATGGGCGCCAATCAAACAACAACAACAGTCTCTGGGGCGTCTAGAAGCAGCAATACAACAACTGCTAGCACGACAGCCCCAACCTGTTGTGGTACAACAACCTAGGGCAGAAAAATTTGAAGACCAAACTGACCTAGACGAAGAGGATTCTGATGATTAAGCCAACAACCATAGAGGAATGCACCAGCAACATGACAACCACCAACTTGAATACAAAATACAAGCCGACATACCAATGTTCTACGGAGACCTGCAAATTGAAGAGTTCTTGGACTGGTTGCCGGAGGTCGAAAGGTTCTTTGAGGTAAACGGTGGGAAGAACTGATGTAGAACAAGCAGCCTTGGAATTTGAAGAAAGAATCGAAAGGACAAGAAACCATAAGCTCAAGTCCAAGTTTCCTATGTTTTAGTTTTAGTTTCCTTTATTGAGTCAGTTTCCTGTTTCTGATTGTATTTTAAGGATAATTCCCCAGTTTTTTAATCCTTTTAGGATTCTTAGATAAGTTTGGGTAGGACTCTAGTCTATAAATAGGGATCATCGTCTTTGTTTATGGACAAAATTTATTGATTACAATTTATAAACATTGGTGGATTCCAAGGTATTTTCTTCAAAAACATGTTAGTGTGATTAACTCGTTTCCGTGCTGCGCCAAGCTCCCCCTAGAAGCTTACTAAATAAGCCAGTTTCTATATTATTAAGCCACTAACAGTCATGTGTAGCTGACCGAATAAACTGTGAGTCCCATTAAGCTGCTAACAACAGGCCCTTAATCCAACTCATTAACCCTATCTCCCACTCTCTACCTCTCCAGCTTGCTTCATCCGTTCATGCTAGCATACGAAATGAGGCAATGCAGCGATTGGGAGATGTATGCATATATCAAATGATGGAAGAAAAAGCTATTTCTCCGACCCCCACCAGAAAGAAGAAACCAAAAAAAGCAAAACTCATAACCCAGAAAGGACAAACACCAGATCATAATTTGACCAAATAAAGACCTCCATAACATAAAATCAACAGATCTAATCCCACAAATCATCTCCATCATCATAGCATGGACAAGAAAATCTTCATAGGACAAGAATAAGAAGTTGAAGAAATACCCATGACAAAAAGCTTGATGGTAATTGAGATCCACCACTTTTCAAGTCAGTCGATGTGTTCATGACTGAATCAGAGACATTTCCAAAGGTTTCAATATTTTCTGTATCCCAAATGTCCTCATTTTCATCATAACCACTATCATCAACACCGCGAAGAACAGATGAATATTTAGTTTCTTCATCGAGATCAAAGCTATTATGGAAGTGTATGCCTCTTTCCTGATCAAGAGAAGGTAGAGCTGTAAGAACTTAAAGAGTGATTATACATGACTACAAATACGGAAATCAAGAAGTAAAACATTTACTTCAGCTAAATGAAGATCTTGGGTATCCTCGCCCTCAATTTCTTTTGCTATTCTTAAAGCCTCCTTTTCTAACTCTCTCATCTGAGGACCTCTATCAAGCTTTGTGGTGTAGAGTTCCTCATTAAATGTACTTTTTACTCCAAATAATGCTGCATTCGTTTCAAATTGATCCCAGCCCCTACATAATTGACAATTAGGTTGGTAAGTAAAAGAGATTATATATTTTAGGGAAAAAAGATCTAGACAACAACTTTCTGCCATAATAACTGGTGCTTTGCATATATATACATATATATATACATATATATAGGGGTTGGGGAGGTTCAGGGGAAAACCCTCATAAAATTGAAAAACTAAGGAACACCCTAATAACAGTTCATTTGTACATTATGCACACAAGTAATTGAAGATGTTTCCTGGTTTCTATGAACATGTGCATGTTATGCCCATGTGCATACCGGAAAAATTACTTACAAATTACTAGTATCCACATGTGCATACTGTAAAGATGAACGGCTAGTGGGGTGTTCCTCAGTTTTTCATTTTCTTTGCGGTTTTCCCCTGAACCTGACCCTATATATATATCCCTTCAAACCCCTTTGTAAGTTCCCCCCTAGTTGGGTTCTTTACATAATTTATCCCATACCTGTCTACATCAAGATTGTCCATTAAACTAAATGTCGTTCGATGTTTTATGATACTAGCGCCCAGTTTAAGTTTGAAATTTGAAGCTGATATTTTCACTTTTAAACAAAGAAGAGGATTTTATAGTGCACCAGGAAGGCACACATAGTACATAGACACAAGGTCAGGTAAGCAAACAGAAAAAACATACAAGACCACTAATCAAGCGAAAGATGAATACTTACATGTGCAGAGTGAAAAATATGTATAAGACCAATGATAAAAGTACTAAGATATGCAGATTGCTTTCGATATGTGAACGATACACTCTAAGAGAAGAACATGTCATAGATGTTCCTATGTACCAACCAGTAACTTCTCATACAAAAAAATCCTATACCAATTATAGTTTAAACAGAATTAACACATAAATGACATTTTGTGGGCCCCTTGTATTTTCTCCTCCCTCCTACAAATGTAGCTAGTTTAACCAAGAGCGTGGATGCTAGATAGAGTCTGCTACGAATCATATGTCATTACAGGTAAAGTTACAGAAAAATAATGAAGCTACTGGTTTCTAGATATAAGAAACCCATCCCATACAATACAAAAACAGGCCACTCAGCTTTATAATTCTCCAGCTGTTTATAGAAAATGTCAGAAGATTCACATTGCTCGTATTCATGTCAAGAATAGAAAATGTGAAGTGTTTCTTCTTAACATGCTATAATGGGACAGAAGACACACATGAGCAGCACCATATGATATTAAAACATAGTGCTTCAATTAACATAACACTGAGCCATACTTCCGCCGCCACTTTCAAGCAGCAGAAGTAATTGAAGGATTTCATAGCGAAAACATGATTCACTTATTATTATTTTCATCAGGGTCTGGCTGAAATATAACCAGTAACAAAGCCTACTCAAATAAAGAAGCGTAATGTAACGAATAGGATGTTAGTAGGTCAGGGCATCTCAAGGTGATTCCACACGGAGCAAGAAGCATAAAATGAGGCAGGGAACCTCGGGCATAAGCTGGCTAACAGAAATAAAATGATCTAGAACTTAGGTACATGTAAATCAGGACAGCTACTTTGCCTTAAGGACTACAATTTCTAAACATTATATGGGCACCAACTAAATCTCACTAGGTCTAGAAATCATCCTACACGATCAGATATATCACTGTGACCATATATAGCAGCAATAAGAGGTAAAGAACTTAGAACCTATTCCAATGACGATCAAATGTATTGTCCAGCTCAGGACATTCTATATTATCATCATCAGGGATCCAAGGTTCCAATTCTCTTTCCAACTCAACATGCCGAGAACGAGAAATCAAGGAGTCTATCATAATGTCTTGTGGTTTTTCGTGCTGAAGCTCATTTGTCAACCAATCCCTGGTTACAGGTACACTCTGCCCATATGAATCACAAAATAAAAACATATCAGTTCATATAAGCAAAATGGCAACTGTATTCCTAAAAGCTACAGAATTTCAACTATTATTCTTGATTAAATATCCCTACAAATAATGTTGTTTAAGGCATCTCCACAAGTTGGATATTCTTGATTAACATGACACAAGATGATCAACCACAGAATTGATATAAATAAAACAAAAAAAAGTACGGAACTACAAAAGATAGAAACAAACAAACCTTTGCCACAATTTGCACAAGGTCATTCGCGGGTATGATTAAAGTTTTAGAAGGAGCCTTGTTAGCAGAATCTGAAATGTTTTTCTGTACTTGAGAAGAACTAGACTTTGTCATGCAGGCCATCTTCAAGATTATTCCTGAAAAAGGGCAACCAAGTATGTTGTAAGAAAGGCATATGATCAAATACACAAACAATTCCAATTGCAAAGGCTCAAATGTATCATGCATATTCACAATTTAAATGTTTTAGAAGATACCAAAATCATCCTCCGCATTTGTGGCATGAAATATTCCAGAGAAGACAGATCCATCTGTCACCTGGACTTCCACCTGATGTCCAATAAGACATGTTGTTAAATAAACAAGTCGCTGACGTGATGGGCTATCAACTCCCCCTTTGTTTCCAGTTGGTAAACCTGAGCAAACACAAGTTAGAATAATGAGCATGAAAGTTGTAACTTGTAAGGCAATTGGGTCCAGTAAAGTCTACCAGTTGTGGTCATTTTGTTAAAGTTCGACTTTTCTGACTGAGATTTATTATCGACTCTAATACCCATTTCTTTTTCACCTCTCCTGCGGCTGAATCCATTCGCAGAGGACCTCGGTGGTGCAACTTGTTGCAGATTCATTCTTGATCAAATTTCCAATCCACCAAAAACTGGATACTGTAAAAATAAACCATTTAAGTAACTGACAAAATACAAAATGGGTGTTTTTTCATGTTTGTGCATTGTAAAGCATTGAAACATTAATTTCCATTTTGAGAGTATGAGGTAAAGCAAAAATGGTCTCCACCTTGCACTAATAATATCAAAACAAAATGGCTTCATAAACATGAGGAGCACCCATCTAACCGAAATATCGAATATCGGTCCTGACCGATATTTTGTATTTTGACCGCAATAACAGCATAGCTTAAGCATCTAATAACCAAAAACCATTTTGTCTTGATCTCTTGGACGATAGTACCATACCACAAAGTAGTTTGATCAATTTATTTTGGAAAGGAGAAATAATGCTCATGTTCATTAAAGATATCAGAGTAAATTACGTTTTTTGTCCCTCTGGTTTGTTATATATTTCAGATTTTGTCCTTGTGGTTTTGAGATTGTGCTTTTAGTCCTTATGGTTTGCAATTCATTTCAATTTTCTTCCCTGAGGTTAAATAGTACTTTTAAGTATGAGGGACTATAATAGAAATGAATTGTAAACCATATGGACGAAAAAAGCAATAAAATTTTTAATCATGATGACGAAAACAGAAATGAATTATAAACTATGACGGTGAAAACTGTAATTTCAAAACCACAAGGACAAAAATAGAATTTTCAACAAACCACAGGGACTAAAAACGTAATTTACTCAAGATATCACGTCAATTCTTGCAAAACACTAGAGAATGATTAAGATTCCTGAATGATTCTACGAAAACAAACCACATAATATAATTGCATCAGTTTCTATGGTGGTAAAAGAATTCAAATGCTAATCAAATAAGTGATATTTTATCAACTCAATTTTTGGGATGTTATAGTACTCACATCCAATGTGAAATGGGACATCAAAAACTTCCACACGTAAATTCTTGGCAGCCTTGAGAAACTTAAACAAAAACCCAAACGAAATCCCAAAATCATTACCCCATTAGATGTACGAGTCCAACCTGCTACACCTTTAAGTGGCCAGCGTTCTTGTACCATTAACAATTCCCAAAGCCTAAAGCAACTGAACGGCCCATCGGGATGTGAGAAGCTGGACTCGTGCTTCTATTGAGGATAAGTATTATTGGAATCTATTTTGAATTTCTTTGTAGGTAAGTTCCGAAGTTGTGACATCCTGTCCCACATTGGTCATTTGAATTATAAGTCACTGGTCTTCCGTCTTTGGTAGTTGTACTAATAACTTCCCGGTTACCACCAATACCATAATTTTAGTTGGTTTGAAAGTTATCAGGCGAAGTCGCTACTGGGGACTAGGGTATTACACATTGCCTACAGCATAAGTGAACAAACACTATAAGATTGCTTTCCAAACGTTTTGCCATTCATAGTGTTGGCACCTATGTCAAAGATGCATCTATTTAGCCTCGACAAAAATGACTTCAAAAAAATATAACTAAAGTGTAAAATAACTAACTGAGTTACTCGAAACCGCCAATTATGCAAAATGGCCTATTGTAAAAACCCTAGCAATATCCATTTTTGTCTTCTTTTTAGGTTTTTCATTCTTAACCAAATGGATTAAAGTTCTCTCTGTGGAAAACTAGTGAACGCAAGAGCTGTTCTTTTTCAATGTTTTTATAATTCATTTGGTTTGTTTAACATATGGCCGCATGTGTAGTCGTGACACGCTTTCATAATATGTAACTTACTGTATATTAAGCAAGAACCACTTATGGGGTGCCATAAGCATGTAACTGTGGCACCCATGACATAACACCACCTATGTAAGCATAGTTAGTCCATAACATCTCCTTAATTTCTCCCATATGAGTTGGTTATTACGATATATTTATCTTCAAAGTCCCTAGTTTATGAGATTAGTTTAGTCAGTGGGTGGGTGGCCCAACACCTCATCTTACCTCAGCAGTTGATCTGCAGATCGTGTAGCAAATATTTGTTGTTAACTTGACATTTTTTTAAATATTTGTTTGGTAGCGTTTGGTATACTGGACTGAACTGGACCGGACAAGACCAGACTAGTTGTATGTCTTATAGCACAACTAGGACCGGACAAGTTGTGTCTAAATGTTGTTTGAATGATTTTATGTGGTGGTTAGTGGTGGTGGTGGTGATTGTAGAGGAGGTGTAGGTAGAGGCGGTGGTAGTCAGGGACTGGCGGTGGTAGTCAGGGACTGGCGGTGGTTGTGGAGGACTAGAAGATGGAGGGCGGTGATGGTGTTGGCGGCCAAGATTGTAGTGATGGTGTTGGAGGTGGCCACCGGTGGTGGTGGTGACGGCGATGGGCAGTGGTGGCCGATGGTCAACCGGTTGCGGTGGAGGTGGAGGGGTAGTAGTGGAGGACGTGGAGATGGTGGACAATGGTGGTTGTAATTAGTTCAAAGTTTGGCATGGAATAACTAAAGATCTTGTTGATTCAAGCTTTACAAACTTGTTTTCTACTGATTCACTTGTGCAATTTGATTTCATTCAGATTAGTTGCTTCTACTATTTAGTTTATTTTTGTATGTCCTGTTACGCAACACTCAGTTTAACAGTTTCATTCTGTGTAGATTACTTCACCATAGATTCAATGGTTTCTTCAGGTCTCCTAGCTGCAGTGTTTCATATTTCATTTTGCTCCATTTTTGGGGGTGGGTGTTGTATGCTTCATATACAATACAATTCAATGTTCTTGGTACTTGGTTGTAGTTTGAATATCTTTAATGTATTGTGGTGGTTATTTCATTTGAACTGTGATAACCTAGTGCTCAGTTGTATTATATTGATAGCTTCTATATCTTCGGTTCTTGACATAGTTAATCATTCTATAAAAACCCCAAATAAAACAATTACCAGATTCCCAATTATTACAAACAAATAAAAATATATAAATTTTAGTAGAGTCTTGGAACATTATCACTGCATTGAAATGTATTCCAAAGCACAAAACCTAGCAAATTTACAAAGTTTAAAGGCATACACAATCCAGAATCAAGTTGCATGTAACTATTAAACACAAATTCACAAAGTTTATAGGCATACACATAATCCAGAATCAAAAACCCTATCCCTAGTAATGTAATTCATTGTATGATGCGGCATAAAGAAGGCGACGAGATAGAACTTACCGGAAAGATCTGTTAAGGGCGATTAAAGGGGTTGATCGAAAGAAGAAAAGCTTGTGGAAAAACTATATATATTTAAGATGTTGGGAAGAGAAGGCGAAGATCGTGGCGCATCTATGGAGCTATGGCCACCGAACTGTTTACTCTTGTAATCAACGGTTGTTTTGAAGAAAGTTAATGGAGTTTTGAAACAGAAAGAATGGAAGGTGAGAGAGCCCAAAACCACCAGTGAATAGCGAAAGGGTATTTTGGGTTTGGGTGATGTTCTTCCTCTTGATTTTTACGATCAGGGGCTAGGTTAGGTTTTTGTTGACAATCGATAATGGTGCAAGGTGCTGTAAACGTTAAAAAGGGGCAAAATTTTGGGGCCGACTTCAACTTGAGACCAATGCCATGGTGTTTCGTCGAAGGTGTGTTTGGTATATGAGACAGACATAACAAGATATGACATAATTTTTTCATGTTTTATGTAAACATGAGATCGGATACGAACTTGTTATATCACGTTTGACACGACATTAAGAAAAAGGTTTTTGTTTGACCAAAATAGGTGGAGCAGTATGGGACAAGAATAAGACAAAAAATTAATAATTTATCTTTATTTGGTATATAACTTCAATATAGTATTTGTTTTAATGGTCAGAGTAGTGGTGCTTAAAAATCCGATCAACTCAACCCAACGCAAAATAATTCAACCCGTAGCGACCTGATGTCTAATCGAGTTGTAAAATTTTCAAACCGTATGTGTTTGGTTGATATTATGTTACTATTATTTGAACTCAACCCAACCCGATGAACCTGATATCCTTTTATTTCTTGAATTTGATATGATTGTTGAATTTATATTAATATATACATTAGTCAATTACACTATCACGTACGCTCTTCAGATATAAATATTTTCAATCTATTATCCATCTCTATATAAGTCATTCGTATATATGTTCAGTAAATGTGAATATATATATATATATATATATTGAAAAAATTAATTGAATGTGATATACGTAACAAGTATGGATAAGGTGTATCAAATGGTTGATGATTAAAAAAAAATTAACATATCCAAGGTTAGAATAATGTTTTAATGTACCAAAGTATCATCCCCATCAACCCATACAGTTTTGGTTAGGTTGCACTTTGATTTAGGTTGGGTTCATATTTTTTAAACCGCAAACATTGGGTTGGGTTGTTCAGATGTCTCCAACCCGATCAACTCAACCCATGAGCATCCCTAATAATGAGTGTCCATCGTTGCCGCCAACATTTTGCCACCTCCTTTGCTAGAAAATACATCTTTTGTAATGCATAACGATATATCTTGATTTTGAAGTTGATATTTTGATCCTTCAACCTTAATTCACGCTTTGTTTTATTCGATGTCTATTTTGATTGTGCTTGTATTTGAACGTGATTTGTAGTATGTGTCATCTTGTATTTGAATGTGACTGTAAATTAATTTTATGGAGCTTAAATCGTGGATCTTTAAAAAGTTCTATAGATGAACCAGTAAAATAAAATAAAAAACCAGTTAAAATTTTGACTGGTTGTTCGGTTCAAGCAGGATAATGAAACATAACGGAGAATCAAAACGGGAATGAATTTTCATTTCCCTATTTTTGACCTGAAACGAAAGTTTATGCTTCCGAGGGAATGAGTTCACTGCATTATATAAAACCAAACAATTGTCTTTATTTCATTTCACCTTAATTACTTCTTAATACCTCTAATCAAACACCTCTTACAATGACCAAGGGTTTGTTTGTTGGTAGTTTAATAGGACCCGTAGCTTATTTGGACAGTTATCTAATATTGTTTGGTGGTGACTTAATGATATAGAGTGTGGCTTATTCAGTAAACTTTTGAGTAAAAGCTTTATATAGGAAAACAAACCTAACTCTCCCAGTTATAAAACACATGCGTTCCCTCTATGATACAACCCTCGTAAACAAAAACCATTTCAACTAATTGGATTATGACTCTTACACAATAAGAGCGATAAGAAGGATGAAGAGTCTTACCCGGTACGTGAGAATTATGACTCTACCCAATAGATTGTTGCATTCGATATGTCTTGATGTACTAAAATCTTACGCATCAAAATAAATTACAGTGTTGACTCTTATAGGTAAGCGCTTACCGGATAAGCATTTGGGGAAACGGCCCCTTAATAGCTATGAGCTATCTGGAGTTGTTGTTTGAGGTTTAATGATTTTAAACCAGTATGCTAATGGATTCAGCTAATTGGATTCCTTAAAACACCCATTTGCCCTAAACAATCTCCTAACGTATTTCCTGTTGCTTGCTCTTCGGTCCCAAATCTCGTGTGTCATAATCATGAATGATGAAAACAATGTCGAGAACAACGATGTCATAATCAATCAAAAGGTGGACTATTTTCCATCGAGCAATCGCACCATTATTGACAATCGAGGGGCTATTTGATACAAATTCGGTGAAAGTGAAAGCACGAGAATGTTTGTAGAAGTGTCAGACAATGAAGCCTTGACACTACAACACAAAAGAACTCTAACCGTAACACCATGATCATGGAAAATAAAATGTTTTATACATTTGGGAGCTGTAATTAAAGTGGGAGCTGCAAAAAGTCAAGCTAACGGGTCGTAATTTCAAGTGTTATAAGTGTAAAATGTTTTATGTGTAAATTGTGTTTGAAGCATGGAAATAGAGGGAACGGTCTAGAAAAGGTCTAGGCTCCTCAAAACCATTCAATCTGGCAATCTCGCCACTTGTCTGTATACATTTGGCAACAGAAACCTGTGAGGAGTTGTTTGTTTACCTTTTAATAGTTTCATTAAAAGACAACCTCTGAATCGTTAAGAGGTGAATTATGTTTGGTAAAAAAAAAACTGTCTCTTGATGCTTCTAAAACCCTCTGAATGATTTTGTATCATAGATCTCATTTAACCATTAAGAGCCATAATTTCATTGAACACAATTACCAAACAATTATATTATATTTTGCACTATATCATGAGAGTCTCTTAATTATTATGTACCAAACCATTCAACAATTGACAAACAACCCCTAAATGTATTGGAGAATAGACACTGAGTTTGAAGCAAAATGTGCATATAACATACCAAACGAGGAAAAGCTTGGAAGGATATTCGACATATTGTATTGTTATTTCAATGCTTAACATCCACTGTTTCGGATCATTCAAGCATTCCAGTTTAACCATTAATAAAAAACTTAACAATCATATTAAATACATAGTATAGAATGACACCAAGTTCATCGAGTTGGGTTGGGAGTTCAACCCCATGCCACTACCTACGATTTTAAGATTTTCCAAATCGACTAACCATCGAGTTGTTTCAGACTGGATTTGGTCTTGGGTTGGTCCAGTGTTTGTGAACCCTAATGCACGAACAAATAGGGGTGTGCATTAGACGGTCAGACATGCTCAAGTAGGCAAACCAAAAATCCGATATGATTTTGGACATGGAAAGCAAAGACCGACTACTGCTTTAGATTTTTTCGATGAACAATTGTAATTATACAGTATCTAAAAACTATACGTATATACATTTCGGGTTTTCAGACAGATCAGACGAACAAAAGTCAAACCCAACCTGGATCAAAATACATATCAAAAAGTCGAGTCCCAAATTTTTAAATTATAAGACATTCATGATTTATACAAACACCTCATTTTCGCTTTAAATTCAATTCAAGTTTCCAGACTACTCAGATTTTACACGCCCCCACGCCCCCAACGTACGAGTTATGAAAAGAAATGAAAATCCAAATGGCAAAGTAATGTTGAGAAGAGGGGGCGCTAATTTGGGGCAAAAAATTTGATCCCAAACCCCCAAATTGAAAAATTAAAAATAGCGGAAAATTCCCATTCTCTTCTCCTCTTCCCCTAAAATCATCTTCCAAAACCCTCGCTCGTCAAACCTCTCTGCCGTTCTCTGTTTTTTGCTTTAAAACCGTTTTACTTTCAATCCGTTGTTCACATTCGATTCAATACATCTTCATAATCGACTATTAATCCACTCACGCAATACATTCTCCAATCATCATCATCTTCTTCTTTTCTTCTGTTCTTGTTGTGGCGGTTTCAATCCCGTTTTTGAGATGGTCTACGGTTCGCGAATCGAAGGGGGAAGCGGAACACAGAATTTATCGGCTGGAATTCGTAAAACGATTCAATCGATCAAAGAAATCGTTGGTAATCATTCGGATGCTGATATTTACGTAACCCTTAAAGAGACGAACATGGATCCTAATGAGACTGCTCAGAAATTGTTGAATCAAGGTTTGTTGTTTATAAGAAATTTGTTTCTTTAGTTTATTTGTCTTTCATTTCAGATTGAATTACGTAAGTAAGATGGTGTTTTTTAGTAGAAATGATTTCTTTTTAGGGTTTGATAAAGTTCTTTGAGTTAGTAATGTGTTTTAGTATCTTTGTTTTCACTAATTTTTCTTCAACTGACCCTCTATCCTTATCATTGCTCTTACCGGTAAGATTCTCAACCCTTGCCATGTTCATCCAGTAAGGTAAATGACTCGGTAAACACTTACTGGGTAAGCATTTAGTAGATGGCCATGTCCCCTTACTTATATTGTTTTTCACATGGTAATTGATGACTTCTGGTTCTCATGCTTCTGTGTTGAGATATTGGATGGAAAAGATAACCAGTTTTTGGCTATTTGTCTTTGTTTTTAGTAAACAATCGGTAGCAACGGGTGTGGATAAGGACATTGACAAAGCCAAGAAGGCGAGAACTTTATTTGGTTATTGTCAAGACATGTGTAATTTATGCGAAAGTGGCACATAGCATCCTCATGTCGCCTGCCCTTTTTCGCGGAGGAAATAGGATTTGAACCCATGATACAATCTTCTTGAATGTTGATTTAGGTATTAAGCAAACGAATGGCTTAAGCCACTCAGCTATACCTTTAAGTTGTTGGAGTCTTGCACTCTTGTTGACTAGAATTAGCTAAAAGTCCAGGGTGTTAAAAGGTCGAAGATAGAAATCAGCCTGAAATGCAGCCCATGCATTTGGTAAACTGAAAGGCTTGATGGTCTCTGTGGCTTATTTGCTCAGCGTTATAGGAGTGTTTTCATTACGGCTTAGTCAATAAGCCATTATGACAAAATGGCTACATAGAATAAGTCAGGACCCCTCACTTGTCCCCATTAAGCCACCTCAAACAAATTAATACCATAAATGCTCTAGAAATAATCCAACCCTCTCTCTTTCCCTTCTTCAAACTCATCGTTCTCCTGTCTCTTAGACGAACAAGTTTATCCGGAAAGACGACTTAACTCGTACAGGGCTTAATGGAAAAAAAGGTAAACAACCCCTTAATTTCATAGTGTCCATGATGTGTAACGAAACTATGAAAAATGTTTGTATAGTTATCTTCTTTGACCATTCTTATTTCATGATGCCTGCTCTTCAAGCTTAGTGAAAACCTTAGCCCCATAAAGTTCATCCAAGAGTTCCCTTGTTTGATTCCATGCAGTATGTGCACATTCTCCCATGTGCCATCCTTTCCTTAACCGACAAAACATGGGAATTATAATGGAGTGCATGATCTTTAAATAGAGGATCTCCTTAGAAAGGCTTTTAATCTCAAAATTTATGAAAAAATTGGACGTTCGAACATTTTTTGGCTGTTAGCCTGTTATCACTCCTTTGATGGATTGGACGTTCGTAACATGTCCTTGTGGTGTGGGTATTTGAAGGCTTCGTTTGTGCTTATCTATTAAGCTTTTGTATTCTCTTGGAATATTTACCCCCCCTGCACTATTGTCTAGTATGTGTTGTAGTCATGCAAAAATAGCACTTGGATAGTTCAATAGGCGAAGTACTTTCTAATACTTCTCTATGAGCTTTGACGCCAATCATTGTGAATTTGTGTCACCCAAGTAGCAATATATAGATCCAACAATCAGAAATGGTGTACAAATGGTGATCTCTTTTCAAAAGAAGAAGATGAGAGATAAGAAATGAGGAGAGAAGAATTTTGCTCCGTATATCATGATTCATGCATACGACCACTGTTCATGGCAAGACAATATTTAATACAAAGGCCACACATGATGGCTCTCTCTTTTATCTCTCTTTCTTTTAACCATCTTTAACAATTGATTACATTGAAATAATTACTTACATCAAGTAATATAGGACAACTCTGTTAACCTTTATTGAGCTCTACTTTGCAACAGAAGGGCATCATAGAAACCCTTAAGAGGAGTGACAAGAAATTGACACTGAATGTAAGGGGTTGGTAGCACATTATTGGTGGAGTTACATCTGACGTTGAAGATTTGAAGTACATGTATCGCCTTGAGTTTGCTTAATAATCCTTTCAGTCTGCTGTACAAATATGTTGGTTCTAAGCTGTGTTGTAGCATTGAACTTGTATAATACTAGCTTTCACCCCAATGTTGGAAAAGTCGAAAGGGGGGGGGGGGGGAGCTGAGGGTTGTTCTTTTGATTGTTCTTTATTCTTGTACTCCATGTTTTCAATGCTCATAAATCATAATGTCATGCCCACCCTAGGACCACCTCCAACTAAATAGGGACTACCCTCTTTCTAGCAGCTTCTAGATCTTATTTGGTGGCTTCTATCCATTATTTTGGCACTAGACCATGTTACGGGAGTTTACACACACATTAGAAGTCACCTGAACAACATATGTCATCTGACATCATAATCATTCTTATGAGATCAAAAAATGGACTTATGATGGTTCTATTATGTGTAAACATCTGCAATGTCTTTAGCCTTATCAGGTGTTCTATAATATTGATCACCCAGTTCATGAAATGCTATGTAATGTAAAAAATTTAAACTAATTCTAATAGAATGGAGTTTCAAAAATGCCACTTTATCTTTTGAACTTTCAATGTAGACCTTTTAATGCAGGGTTGGAATGGAAAGTAGTACCAAGGGTGGTTTTAGATGGTTGTTGGTCAATGTTTCAAATGGAGGGGATTGGTTAGAAGAATTTTGCATGAGTGGAGAATACGGAAGGAATTGGCCATAAATGCGAGTGCATATCTAGAACCCCACAGGGTTCACCTTTTTATGTTTGCTTTTACTTTCACCATTTTATAATTCTTTTTAGCTCACCTGATTGGTTTGGGATGAGAAACTTGTTGTATGTAGGGGGCTGGAATAAATAGCTGTGTCTATGCTTCAAAACACATGGGATATTGTAGCCATAGTTAGATAGGTTATTTGAAACAAAGATCAACAACTTAATGCAGCTAAGAGATTTCCACTTCTACAATATTTTCTACAATACGTTTGAATTAATCCAAAACTTTGATTTGATGATTGTCTTGTTTGGTGTTTATTTTTAAACTAGCTTTACTCTTGATTTCGTCAACTACTTATACTTTGTCTCATTTTACTTGTTTCTTTTGTTCTTATCAGATCCGTTTCATGAAGTTAAGAGGAAAAGAGACAAAAAGAAGGAGGTTTGTTATTATAACTCTTCATAATCATATTCGTACTTACTTTCTCTAATATAGGGCTTCAGAGGATACATAGTCCAATTATATGTGTTGAGGCTTTTATGTTTGTTGACAAGTCTGGAGTGCAATCTGCAATTTCTTAAAGCTATTTAATTGTATATTGGATGGAGAATTGTAATGTTTCATGTTTGGTTCAATTATTTCAGGTTACAACATTCGTGGGTTCTGTTCCTATAAAGCCAAGAAAGCCTACTGATCAGGTAGTTCAAGGGATGAAGCCCAACACATATTTAGATCGTAACCCTCGAAGGGCAGGCTTTGGCCGGAATAATGCACCTGGTAACGTAGTTTTATGTGTCTTCATATTTTTATACTCGAGTTGATCATATTATCTACTGTTAGATGTCCTATCCACCCACAATTGGAAATTTGAAACTAGAGAATTCTCTATCTATGTCAGTTCTATAAGATTTTAGCATCTATTTTTAAAAAAATTACATGTCGATTTTGATTTCATGCTTCCTATTGATCTCCTGTTGACGGTTAGAATTTTTACTAGATGCAGGAGTAACTAGAGAGTTTCGAGTTGTGAGAGACAACAGAATTAATCAAAATGGGCATAGAGAGATTAAATCACCTGCTAATAGCTCGGTGGTTGTGTCCACTAAAGAGCCGCCAATTTCAAACGTCTCTGACAAGAGGTAACCATGCGTTTTTGCCTTCTTATTCCCGGTAAGCAGTGTTGGACGTTAGATGAAATTTTAACCATCTTGTCTATTACATGGCTGTTTGCAGTTCAGCTGAAACCTCCAAAAATCTAAAATCACCGACTGGACATAATTCCACTCAGTCCGTGAGTCTGCCGATTGGTTCGCTCTCCAAACAAGTAAAGGGCGTTAGTCCAAGTGGTTCTGAGAGGAATGAGAGGTCAGGTGGCAAGAGACCTCTGGTCTCGAATGTTGCTCCACCTGTGCAAACAACAAAAACACATGATTCTCATCAATCTTCTGTAACATCACCCAATAGTTCGGTAGTAGGAGTCTATTCTTCTTCTTCAGACCCGGTTCATATACCATCTCTGGCATCCAGACCAGCTGCAAATGTTGGGGCCATCAAACGTGAAGTTGGGGCAGTTGGTGTTCGGCGTCACACATCTGAAAATTCTGCGAAGCTGTCATCGGTGCAGGGTGGTTCTGGATCGAACTCTCAATCGGGAAGAGATGGCCCCTCCAGAGAGCAATTTAGATCTTTTCCTGCTGTATCTAAGAGTGACCAACCATCTCAATCCAATTCATCTGAATCAGTGCCAACCATATCTGCTGGAAGGTCCTTCAATAATCAGTATAGTAGCAGACCACATCAACAAATCGTGACTCATCAAAAAGGTATGAACCATTCTAGTTCTCAGTACGTTTGAACACACACACACATGTATATATATAGAGACAGAGAGGGAGGTTCAGGGAAAAGCCCCCCAAAAAATGAAAAAGTGAGGAACACTCTGCTTACCATTCATTTGGATGGTATGCCCATGTGCATACAAGTAATTGAAGCCGTTTCTAGGTTTTTATGCATGTGCACATGTTATGCACATGTGCATACCATACAAATTGCTTACAAATTATTTGTATGCGCATGTGCATGCCGTCCAAATGAATGGTTACCACTTACCAGGGTGTTTCTCAGTTTTTCATTTTTTTTTTGCGGTTTTCCTTTGAACCTGACTGTATATATATGTGTTCAAGTGATCCCATTATGCGATCCTGCCCATCCCTTTAGTCTGCCACTTCTACTTTACATGTACGGTGTTTAAAAATGAAAAACAAAGAAACTGCTTGCTTCATTCTTGATCTACTTGTTTTCAATTCACGAGTCCTTCAAGTACTTGTAAATCAAGTAGATTCGCCATGTTTCCTCTTTTTGTATTTCATTGTGTATCTTATGGAGATGTGATATTGAGCTGAGCTATGTCTTAAAATGTAGCTCCCCAAGCAAACAAGGAGTGGAAACCAAAATCGAGTCAGAAACAAAGTGTTACTGACCTGGGGGTTATTGGAACACCTAAAAAATCCGTATCCTCTCCTGCCTACGAATCTAAGGACTTGGCTTCAGAAACAGTTCCATTACAAGATAACTTGACGCATGCAAGTACTCACGAGGATCAAAATGTGATCATCGCAGCACACATTCGAGTCTCTGAGATTGACCGTTCTCGCTTGACTTTTGGCAGCCTGGGAATTGAGGTGGAGTCTTCTCAGAATTCTGGATATCAAGAGGCCAGGCATGTCGAAGAACCACAAGTTGAACCTTTGACAAGGTTGGTTAATCATCATATTGATTTGTTCTTTTTGCATAATGGGTAAAAAGCGCAAGTAAAGTTTGTGGTTAATACCTGATTTTGATCTGTTTTTGTCTGTTACTAATTTTGGACTTGATTACAGTTCATCGGTCGGCTCTCCTGACTTGTCTAGTGATGAACCATCTGGTAGCAAACAAGTGGAGTTGGTAGATGAACGAGTCCAGAGTTCTGGTTCCATTTCTCCTGCATCTGGCACAACATCTGAACAACAAACGATCGATAGGCTAGAGTCTTCAAGTCCCCAAAACATGGAAAACTACAACGACATTGGGCTGGTTAGGCAAAGCAGCCCATCATACACTCCTTCAGATCCCCAACAGCAGCAGCAGCAGCAGCAGCAGCAGCAGCAGCAAGTCCCTTCTGAATTGCCAAGTTTCTCGGTTAGTGGAGTCTTTATATGCTATACCTTAATATTTTATCATCTTTTTTTACTCCATCCGTCGCAAATAAATGTCCACAATGAAAAAGGCACATAGTATTAGAAATATGTAATTATTACACTTTTTAATTAACTAAATGACAATTTAACTTAGGGGTGCTCACGGGTTGGGTTGATCGGTTTGAAGACATTTAGAAGACCCAACCCAATGTTTGCAGTTTGAAAAATCTCAACCCAACCCGAAACATACGGGTTGGTCGGTTGATACTTTGGTACATCACAATATTCTCCTAACCTAATATGTTGTTTTCTCTATTTATAATTTCTTTTTCATCATCAAACATTTGGTACAACATACTTGTACTTTTTAAATCTTTAGTATATCACATTCAACTGCTTTTCTCAATTTACATATATATGTTCACATTTACTGAACATATATACAAAAAAGTTATATAGAGATGGAGAATAGATTGAAAATATATGCATATGAAAAGGGTACATGATGGTTTAATTGTCTAATGTACATACTAATAGAAACTTAACAATCGTATTAAATCCAAGAAATAAAAGGATATCGGGTTCATTGGGTTGGGTTGGGTTAGGTTCAAATGACCGTAGCCCAATTCCAACCCAATACCTATGGTTTGAATTACAACTCAGTTAGAAATCGAGTTGCTTTGGGTTAGGTTACTTTGCGTTGGGTTGGGTTGGTCTTGTCTCGTTTTTTAGCACCCCTAATTTTACTCTTAATAATAGGGGGAGTAATGTATTTCTCCGTCTCATAATTAAGGGTAGAATTGGAAAGCATGCACTTACTTTTGAAAATGAACACTTATTTTAGGACAAACTAAAATAAATATGTGGACCCTTATCTTGGGATGGGGGGAGTAATTAATATCTGCTTTTAATAACTTGGAAGGCTCAAGTACCTGTCTTTTTTCGTGCTTTCTTCTTCAACATCCTGATTTGTCTTCGTCTTACAGCAGGCATATGATCCTCAGGCTGGATATGATCTATCATATTTCAGACCGGCTGCTGATGAATCCCTCAGGGGCCAAGTGCTACAAATCCCTCAAGAGGTCGAGTCCTAACAATTTTTAAACGGTTTACGTGCATGTTATCTAACTTCCGTTATTTCTAGCAAACGACTGATACGATGCATGGCGTGTTTTCTTGACAGGCTTTTAGTTCTCATGCCGCTAACACCATCCCTGCAACCACAATACCGATGGTACAACAACAGCAAGCTCCCGTGGCCCAAATGTATCCACAAGTTCACCTTTCTCATTTTGCTAATCTTATGCCGTACCGCCAGTTTCTATCTCCGGTCTATGTTCCACCAATGGTGATGCCGGGGTACTCTAACAATCCAACATACTCTCCTCACCCCTCTAGTGGTAGTAGTTACCTTTTGATGCCCGGGACTAACTCACCACATCTAAGTGCAAATGGATTGAAATACGGAATTCCACAGTATAAATCTCTTCAAGCTGGCAGTCCTACTGGTTTTGGGAACTTTACTAGTCCTACTGGATATGCGTTAAATACGCCTGGAGTTGTGGGAAGTGCATCAGGGTTAGATGATTCATCTCGGCTTAAGTACAAAGATGGGAATGTTTATGTTCCAAATCCTCAGGTAAATGGCGTAATTTCTTGTTTCTTCAGTATGGTGTGAAATTGATGGTTGATTTGAAACTATTATGCATTTTATCAGTCTAGGGAATGTTTTACTATCTGCAGAATGCCTCGTGTAAGAGATGCTTACCCTGTAAGAAGGGACGTTATTTACCAACACACTCTGACCCACAAATATGCCTACCCCTGATTCAGTCCGACCCTGTGTGGAAGGGGTTGCTTTCCGACTTGGTCAGTAATTCAGTCTGTGCTTACCCTACACTTGGCATACAACCATTTTCAGTCGAATACTTACCCAGACTGCACTCTTAGGGGATGTTTGGTTGATTTTCTCTTAAGTCATGTACGGATAAAGTTGTCTATGTGGATTAATCTGTCTGTATAGATTGTGAAGGTTTTTGTTTAGGAGAGTTTTTTCATAGATGGGAGGAGCGTGTTTTTTTATTAGGAGGGACAGGTTTGGAAAAAAAAACTTGACTTTCTGCATGAAGCTTCACTTTCTATATTATAAAGCCACTACCAAATGGTCATGTATAACTGTCCAGATAAGCTGTGAGTCTTATTAAGTTCATTAAGCTGCTAACACACGACTTTGAGTAGAAGATTTGGAACTATTTATGTGATTGCTTTAGAAGCAAACGGGGTCTTATTTTATTTGTTGATGTTACAGGCCGAGACATCGGAGCTTTGGATGAATCCGAGGGACATCCCAAGTCTACAATCAGCGTCGTACTACAACATGGCCGGTCAAACCCCTCATGGCGCGTATCTCCCTTCGCACACAGGTCATGCTTCGTTCAACGCAGCTGCGCAATCTTCCCATATGCAATTCCCTGGCTTATACCACCCTCCGCAACCTGCAGCAATAGCAAATCCACATCATATGGGTCCCACGATGGGTGGGAACGTTGGGGTTGGAGTGGCGGCAGGAGCTGCGGGACCCCAAGTCGGCGGGTATCAGCAGGCTCAATTGAGTCAACTGAGTTGGACAGGGAACTTTTGAAACGCTTATGATATGACTTGTTCTTGTATGGGGATTGAAATTAGTTATAGAAGCGTTTTTCATGTTTTGTTTATGAAAAAATGGACCTTACAGGCTTTTCCCCTATCAATGCATAATGCGTTCATCCTGTTGAAGCTTAGACATGGAGCCTTTTTTGAACCCTTTTCTTTTGTCAAATTGGAACATTAAAAACCTTTGTTTCTACTTTTTTATTGACGAAAAAACGTTTTTGAAGTGGGGGCACGACACCGAGATTGACTAGTTATACGTAGTCGGGCGTGCGGGGACAACAAGGTGTTTATATGAGAGACATGTGGGGGCCATGTACCTATATACTTGCTCGGTAAACACTTACCCGGTAAGAATCAAAAGTCTCACTTATCTTAAAGGGGTAAGATTCTAGGTCCATTAAAATGACATTCTATGCAACAATTTACCCGTAAGTGCTAACTGGGTAATGGTTGTCACCTTCACTTACAAGATAAGACTTTCGGTCCTTGCCATCGCTCATACCGGGTAAGACCCACGAGTATTGTCATGTTCATTCGGTATGGTAAGTGATCTAATAAATGGTTACGGGTAAGCGTTGGATAAATCCCCCCTTAGTGTAGTTTTTTAGATTTTTTTTAAATTAACCTGGATATCAAACCCGTTATAGACTTAAATGCAAATTTGATCGTTGTGGTTTACATAAATTAACGAGTAATGTCCCTAATAAGAATTATTAACAAGGGACGTCCCTATAATTTCATTTTTATAACATATATAGTCCCTCCTACTAACTCCTTCAGTCAACTTTCTGCTAACGAGGTGTAGTTTTGTCAATTTACCTTCTCTCCCTTAATTTAAGGACATCCCTTGATAATATTTTTTCTCAGAAGCCTTACATGTTAATTTATGTAAACCATAAGGACCAAAATTGTATTTAACTGTAAAAAATACAATACACAATACACACATAAGGTTGGTTTAATAATGATTACAAAATTAACTTCTGTTATAAAAAAATAGTTTTCAGCTTTAATATCATTTAATGCCATTAATTTTGACTTCAGACCACATAAATAACTTTTTATTTTTCTTTTAAAGTTTAGGATAAATTACAAAAAAAAAAAAATAACGTATCTTAACTTAATTCATATTTTTGGTAACGTAGTTTCAAAACTTTTATTTTGATATTTATGATGTAAAATTTTAAACATTTAAGTACCTGAGTAACCGGTTGAAGCATTAACCGGTTACATATGCTGATGTGAGGAATGATTTGGTATCCAATTCAGTATTATTTGTTGACATAAATAACTTTAATCTAACCGGTTAATGCTTCAATATGTTTAATCGGTTAATGTTTCAACCACATATTCAAATACTTAAATGTTTAAAACTTTACATCTTAAATACCAAATTAAAAATTTTAAAAATACATTATTCAAAATAAAAATCAAATTAAATTACGTTTTACTTTTTTCATACCATTTATCGTACGTTTTAGGTTTAAGATCATATATTGACAATGAATAGAGGGAAGAGAGGAGAAGGGAATATCCAGGTGGCGGTCTCGGGAGCACCCATTCTGACTTATTGTTTTTGGTCCACGCCAAAAGCTGCAAATTTGTGTACTGATTTCTTTATGATTTCCTAATTTTTCTAGGTTCAAAATAAATACTACAATTTATGTGAAGTTGTTATTAAGTAGAGTTTTGAATGACAATTAGTATGCACGATGGTTGGTCTAAGATTTATAGATGCAATTTTTAATAGATTTTGTATAATTGTTTTAAAATAAAAAAAATTAAAAGTTAGAAATTTCTAAAAGAATTAGTAGAAGTCATGTACTGAAATGTAAAAAGTATAAGTCTTAACGTTAATCTATGTCAATAGTAAGAGGTTGTTTGGTAGTTACTGAATGATTAAGATGTTCTTATGATACAATATAAAATGAAATATAACTATTTGATAATTATTCGTAATGAAATTAGTGTGTTGAATGGTTAAGGGAGAGCCACGATACAAAATTATTTAGAGACAAACTTTTTTTTGTCAAACAATATTCACCTCTTAGCTATTCAGATATTGCTTTTTAGTGAAACTATTAATAAGTTAACAAATAACCTCTAAATTAGTAGATAGGGTTCTTAACAATATATAGGGGTGTGCACTTAGTTTATACTCAAATCCGTTTGTAATTTCATGTACTATTCATGTATGTCAATAGTTTATTTTGGAGATCTCAATACTAATTATACTATTAAAATATTATATATTTTATAATTTTATTATACTTATAAATTAATAATAATTCAATTTCATTCGTGGAAGGTAATAAAAAAATCATTTACCTTTTAGAGAATTCTCTATACTTGGAGTTTTCTTTTGTTTTCTCTATTTTTATGATTAATATAGAGAATTCATTAAAACAAAACCTTCAATTTATGTATTTGAATAATTTATTAAAGATGCGTTTTAAGGGTTGTTTGTTTACCTCTTAATATTTCTATTAACAAAGTCTCTGAATATTTAAGAGGTGAATCTTGTTTGACAAAAAAAAACGAGTGCCTCTTAATGGCTTTAAAAAACCTTTGAATGATTTTATATCATGAGCCTCCATTAACCATTCAACGCCCTAATTTAATTGTAAACAATTACCAAAAAAATTATATTTCATTTCGTACTATATCATTAAAACATTTTAATCATTTTAACCACTTTAATCATTCTGCACCAAACCATTCAACAATTGTCAAATTTTTTCACCAACGAATTGGATTTTATCATTATTTTATATATAAAAACTAAAAACTATAAGAAGATGATAATAATAAAATGATTAATAATATATATTAACATTGAAATCTTTACGCTAAAAAATTTGTTAGAAGTTGATTTTTAAGAAAAAGTTAATAAAAATAGTCATTTTCAACAGGTGGATTCAATCCTTTAACCGTTTTTTTTTACATTTCAAAAATATCTTTATTTTTGCAAGCGAAACTTCCTCAGTTTGAGGAGTCAAAATGTAAAAAAATAGTTTATGAACACGGTCTGTAAGTGCAGAAACCAAATCTGTAAATTAGATAACTCTACAAATGTTGATCTTTATTACGAATGTGGTCCTTAATTTACCTTTTTGACCATGGGGTAAATTCCATAAAAAACTAACATACTTTAACTTGATTTTTATTTTATATAACATATTTTCAAAATGTTCGTTTTAATACCTAAAATATAAAAAAATTAAACATTTAAGTATCCGAGTAACCTGTTGAAGTATTAACCGGTTACCTTGTTGATGTGACGAGTGATGAGATGAAATTAGGTTGAATAACAAGTAATATTTAGTTGAATATCACATCAATCGGTTACCCGGATATTTAAATATTTAAACTTTACATCTTAGATATCAAAATATAATTTTTAAAAATGCATCATACAAAATAAAAATCAAATTAAAATACGTTATTAAATTTGTCATTTAAAGAGAGCAATAGTAAAAAGTAAATTTAAAGTTTGGAAAATACTGTTTTAATTAATGTCCTTTTTCAATATACAGAATGGAGAAGAGGTTATAATGCACTAATATGGGGGTTACCTCTTTCACTTCACCCGCTCTGTACACATCACCGAATCCCCTGTTTTCCACTTGACTTAATAAAGTGTCTCATCAGCCACTTCCACACTCTCCCTCTAAATCCATTCAAAGCTTTTGTCATTCTGTTCATCCCACCATCTCCATTTTCACTCACGGCAACAACCCACCAATCTCCATCAAAATCGAATTCTGTTGCAAGTTTGATTCACACCCACTCTTTTCTGCTTCATGTTTGCTGAAAACTGTGCTTAATTCACTGCTACAGACCAACAATGGAAGCTGTCGACAAACATCGATACAGAGGCCAGAGAGATAATCCATCTTTCTCATCGTCTTTGCTTGACGTGATCTACCGCTCAATCGATGAAAGAGATGAGGATTCGGTGGTTTATAGAAGAACCATGAAGAAAAGACAGAGCATCGATGGTTGTTTCCAAGTTGATAAGCAAAAAAATAATGGAAGTATCGGACGAAGCGGCGGAACGAAGTTTACCGGAGAAGTGGTGGTTCGCCGGAAATCAGCTGCCGGTGTCGAAAGTTGTTCCCAGCGAAGTGAAGGCGATTCCTTCTTCTTCAACTCAAACATTGGTTCTTCATGTTCTACCTATGGCGTAGGTTTTCCGTCGTCGGAGGTTGAAACGATATACGGATTTCCGTCGAGGCCTAGACCGATCCGTACCAGCTTCATTGAAGACGATAACTGCAACACACGAGAGAAACAGGTTCAAACGCATCCATCCGACGATTTGCAAACGAAAGGCAAGTTCGTAAAGACGAAATCACGAGCTATGAAGATCTACGGTTACCTGAAGAAAGGAAAACAACCGATTTCGCCGGGAGGTCGATTAGCGACGTTTTTTATTTCACTTTTCACCACCGGAAACGGAAAGAAATCGACGATGTCATCCTCCTGTACTGGAATTCACGACGAGGCGATAATTCATTCAAACAGGAAATCAAAATCAGCCAATGTTTCAACGTCATCATCAACAACTTCATTTTCACGATCGTGTTTGAGCAGAACTCCTCCGTCGTCGACAGGAAAGTTAACCACCGGCATGAAAAGGTCCGTTAGGTTTTATCCAGGGAACGTTATAGTCGACGAATATTGTCAGCCTCGTGGACGCAAATCGCTACAGGGAAACCGATCCGACTCACCTGCTGTAAAATTCGCCAAGGAATCATTCAACGAAGAGCTTAAAAAGCATTTAACAGAGAAAAACCGCCAAATCGAACAAACTACCATGAATTTGTTGAAGAATTATCAGAAGAAAGTTGAATATGTGTTTGATTCAATTAAAATCAATTCAAAAAACGACGAAGATTACAATGACGATGAAGCTGCGAGCTACGCAAGCTCAGATCTGTTTGAACTGGATCATCTTTCTGCCATCGGAAAAGATCTGTGTATGGAAGAGTTGCCATTGTATGAAACAACTAGCATTGATGCCAATCGAGCCATTGCTAATGGTTTCCTTGAATGATGATCGTCGGCCGTAAAGCAAAAATGGAGGTTCAAAACTCCAGTCAATTTCATTTTTTACCATCTACTATTTTTTAGGTGACGTTGTATCCATTTATTTTACTTTAGAATCAGATCGGATTATACATTAAGAATATAAAAAATATAAATTACATTAAAAAAAAATATATACTTTAACTTAATTCATATTTTGGATAACGTACTTTTAAACGTCCATTTTGATATTTAAGATTTAAAGTTTTAAACATTTAGGTATTCGGATAACCGGTTGAAGCATTAATCGCTTATCATGCTGATGTGACGAGTGGTGTGGTATCCAACTCAATATTATTTGTTATTCAATCCAATTTCATCTCATCACTTGCCACATCGGGCAACCGGTTAATACTTCAACCGATTATCCGAGTACCTAAATGTTTAACACTTTATATTTTAAGTACCAAAATGAAAGTTTTAAAAGTATGTTACCCATAATAATAATAATCAAGTTAAAGTATGTTATTTTTTCATGCAATTTGTTCTATAAGAAATGAATCTTCGTCTTGATATTTGAGAGAAAAAAAATTAATAGATAGAAGTGCATTTAACAATATGTAGGAGTTTATTTAGCCTATCCCTATTTCTTTTTTTCTATCACTTACTAACAAGTGTTCTTTTTCGATCAAACAAACTTTAGGTCTTTTTTACTCGATAATAATTGATAAAAGGTAAATTGATCAAAATAGCCCATTGACATACTGTAGTTCACTTTTTAGTCGTATTTAATCGTGAGTGCTGAAATGTCATTATATCCACAAATGGTACGTTCCGTACGTTGTGGAATATACCTTTTAGTAACAATAAAAACTTGAAAAACACCCTTTTGCAAGTGCCACTTTTGGAGCTCACGTCAGATCTCTTACCCATGTGAAACATTTCCGCAAGTTCTGAAAGTGGTACTTGCTGAAAAGTGGTGCGTGTTTGAGATAGTAATATGAAAGAGTAGGTTCTTTCAAGTTGCGAAAATATTACTTTCGTAACCACAAGGGTGGTGCCTGATTGGTTTGAGCTTGGCTCCAAAGATCAAAAGTACCAAGAGGTCTCAGGTTCATATCCAAGGAGGAATAAAAATCTTCTTGTGGCCACGGAGGTTCAAATGCGATAACTCCGGCTATCTGCAAAGCAGGTGGCCGCCCTGAGATTAGTCGGCTTACATAGTGGGTTGGATATCCAGGTTAATAAAAAAAATATCACTTCCGAAAAGCAGTGATATTTTGATACATTGATACATGGAGAACGTACGGTTAAAAGTGAATTTGATATGTCGGGTAGTTAGTTTGGTCAAGTTTCGTTAATATATTTGGTTTGTCTTAGTTTCGTTATTGGATTATTTAGTTGGTTTTTTGTTAACAGTTGTATAGATAAATCTTTCTGTATCGATTATTTTGTTTATATAAATTAGGAATGTTTTTGTTTGGGGAAAGAAACATGTTTTTTAATTACAAGAGACAAGTTTGTAAAAAAGAACTTCACTTACTGCATAAAATCTCACTTAGAATTTTACTGAATAAGTCACTTTTAACTTATTAAGTCACTGTCGAACACTCATTATGACTGACTGAATAAACTATTAATTTAAATCTTTACTAAAATCTTTAATGGGATTATAATAATATAAATAAGGCGGTGAAAATAGTTATATATATATATATATTTGAGATCATGTGAGACTAAAAGTTTTTTCTGAGACCCGTAAGAACAATTATCAACCCTTCGAATAGATTTACAATATGGACATTTATAATCACAAAATTGTCACCGTGCAACTTTAGACCAGTAGATCATTAGCTTATAAAGTTGATCAATGAACATAAATTGGTCTTATGGATCTCATGAAAAATATTTGGTCTCACGTGAATCCAACCCTATATGTGTGTATATGTATATATATATATATATATATACATGTGAAAGAGCATGTGGAAAGGTTTGAATAAAAAAGTAAAGAAGAGTAAAAAGTGGTTGGTAGGTGTTGAAAAGTGTGGGACATAACGATAAATCCGGTGGATATTTGCTTCTAGTATCAATTTTCATCATTGTTCCTTCTAATTTTAATTATTGGATCATTTTATTTAAATTAATTATTTTTTTTTATAAATCCCATTAATTACGTATAAAATATATTTTTTTCCCTTCTAAAGACACCAAACTTTTGTTTAAAAAAACATATCCAACAGTTATAAACATGTAAGACTAATTTTAGATTTAGAAAAACCCATATCACTAATCACGCCAGCAAATAATACTGAGTTGGATACCATATCATTCGCCATAATAGCATGATATCCGGTTAATGTTTCAACCGGTTACCCATATACTTAAATAGTCAAAACTTTACATCTTAGGTACCAAAATGAAAGTTTTAAAAATACGTTATCCAAAAGAGAAATCAAATTAAAATACGTTATTTTTTCATACAAGTTACCCATATTTAAATCTTATAAACCCTTTTAAAATAAATAAAATTATCACACATTTATTTGTAAGGGAAAATTGCACCAAATGGAACCAACTTTCACCTGATTCTTATTTTGGAGAACCAACTTTCAAAATCGTCATTTTGGGGAACCAACTTTCACTTGATTTTTATTTTGGGGAACCAACTTAGACCTGATTCCTATTTTGGGAAACCAACTTTCAAAATCGTCATTTTGGGGAACCAACTTGGACCTGATTCCTATTTTGGGAAACCAACTTTCAAAATCGTCATTTTGGGGAACCAACTTGGACCTGATTCCTATTTTGGGGAACCAACTTTCAAAATCGTCATTTTGGGGAACCAACTTGCATCTGATTCCTATTTTGGGAAACCAACTTGCAAAATAATTATAGAAAAATAACTAAAATTCATTTCTTTTCAAAAATTAATGCATTAAAATCTATTTTTCATTTCAAATCTTGTTTTTTTAAATTCAGATATCAAATTGAAGATTTTTCGAAAAAAATCCAAATTACCACGATAAAAATTGTTTTTTACTAATGCAATAAAAAATCAATTTAATAGAAAAAAATTAATTGATGCAATAAAAAATAAATATTAAATATCACATTCAAGATTTTTATGTCTATCCAATCTGTGTCAATATTAAAGTTTAAATCAAATTTGGCAAATCTAACTAAAAGTTTGATAGAGACCCTTAAATTATCTGTTACCTGTTCAACAGATCAATCAGACCCATAAATAAACAAAAAGTTCGATAGAGACCCCTAAATGACGATTTTAAAAGTTGGTTCCCCAAAATAGGAATCAAGTGAAAGTTGGTTCCATTTTGGTGTAATTTTCCCATTTTTCTATAATTATTTTGCAAGTTGGTTCTCCAAAATAGGAATTAGGTGCAAGTTGGTTCCTCAAAATGACGATTTTGAAAGGTGGTTCCCCAAAATAGGAATCAGGTGAAAGTTGGTTCCCCAAAATGACGATTTTGAAAGTTCGTTCCCCAAAATATGAATCATGTGAAAGTTGGTTCCATTTTGGTGCAATTTTCCCTATTTGTAAGTACAATGATTTATTTTAGAATTAAATAATTGCGTAATTGAAGTTAATTAATGTAATGATGAAATCAATAATTCTAAACATCAAAGTTTAGAAAAGTGAAATAGTTTGGTTAAAGTAAAGAACCCTAATGCAATGATGGAGGAAGCCCCTAACCCAGAATTATAGGCAAATGAGAAGAGCATCTATTTAGTCTAAAGATTCCTACACTATTCATTCATATATTTTTTTGGTAAATTAGTAACGTATTTTAACTTGATTTTTATTTTTGGTAATGTATTTTCAGAACTTTTATTTTGGTATCTAAGATGTAAAGTTTTAAACATTTAAGTACATGAGTAAGCGACTGAAGTATTAACCGGTTACTATGCTGATGTGATATCCAACTCAGTATTATTTGTTATTTAACCCAATTTCATCCCATCACTTGTCACATCAGCATGGTAACCGGTTAATGCTTCCACCAGTTACCCAAATACTTAAATGTTTAAAATTTTACATCTTAGATAACAAAATGGAAGTTCTGAAGGTACGTTACCGAAACTTGAAAATGACAAATGTCTCGTCTAGCATTACGTTGATTTGTGTATTGATGAAACTGTGAAACCATTTCGTTCATGAAATGTAGTAGTAATTTGTCTTATTATTATTCAAAAAATTTCATTATGTTAAATTGATTATAGTGTGTTTTATTTTTATTGTTGATCCATTTTAATGATGAATGTTATTTTTTTTTATAAATTTGAACATAAAATTAATATATTATTTTACAAATGATTTTGTTTCATTAATATTATCATTACCAAAGTTACCATTTTGCCTTTTTTGGGATTATAAAAATACTTTTTTATTTTTTTTAATTTCCTAATATAACCTAAATTAATCTTGACCATTGATCAAGAAATTTGATAGATGAGATTGATTTACATGGTTTACACAAATGAGAGCAGTTTTCATTTGATCGTTCCTCTATATATATATATACACATATATATAGTTGGTATACCTCTTAATTCTTACAAAACAATCTTAACCGTACATTTACTTTAATTAATATTCGTTTATATAATTATTTGAATTATTTCATAATCTAAATCGTTAATTTTAATGAATAAAAA